GTCACCCCTTCTCACACCATATCATCTACCGCATTCGTTATCTCGTTTCCTCTGGTGTCTGGCGCATCATTATTTTTATCTGGGTATCATTCTATCTGGGCTTGGGTCTATTCGGCACAGTCAAGGAAGTGACTTGGGGAGGAGTTTGTACGAGAGGGGGTACTTCATTCCCACCCCCCTGGATTTTCTGTCGTCATTTCTGCGATCTATTCTCTCGCGTGACGACTGGCATCGATGTCTTTCTTTGTTTCTATCTTTGTATTGTATTTAGTTGCTCCTTCCTTCCGAGCCACATGCATGAGACAAGAGCGCCCAAGGTGCTGATTCTTCCTTTCCTTAATTCTCTATTCTTCCGAAACTGCCAAGCTCGGCTATAGAGCTAGTTCTGTTTTGAATTATTTGCTACATTGCACTTGATGAACAATCGTAAACAACATCCGGACATAATCAAGGACCATGTGCAAGTCCTGAAAGGGCTCAGGCTACAAAAAGCCAAGGGTTGCATTGCAAATCATTACTTGATTAAGTAAAGGTTTTGCCGGCTTTATAAAGCGGTGTGGGAAAATTTCCAGTGTCACGCAGATATTCAACAGCGGACTTAATAGATCAAAGATGTCAGGTACAGACGTTGATCACTGTATTTTAGAAAAATAAATTCTACGTTCAATGGTTTCGAAACAGAACTGAAGAAGGATAGTCCCCTCCAAGGGACCGGCATTGCCGACACTCTTGATGGGAAGCTTACCACTCACAGCCTCATCCACATTTATCTACCGATTTCTCATCAAGAGAAAATGGAATTTTAAAACCTTTCAGACCTCCTCGACACCCACCAGGTCCAGCCGACCGAAGTCAGACACCAAACCAGGTCAAGATCATCACCACTCCCTGGACATGAAACACAGACACTGCAAGCAGCACGCGTGACACGTCGAGGCGGGAGTAAAAGGCTTCACTTTAGGGCATCGAGGACATAGTAGTCATCAGCAAGGGTGGAGATTCTGTGGCTCTTTTAAAGAGCTTAGAAGTGGGACGTCTACTCTAAAGTGATTCTTTGAACTGTGAGGTTGTTAGTGAAATGTTCGAAATGTTGAGGAAACCAAGCCAGAAGAGGATTGGATCCTGTAGGGGAGGGATCACTAACGTAGAGTCGCTTGAAGAAAAGTAAATCTACGGGGGAACAGATGCTTTTTATACCTGCGCCGGGCGCGCTAGTGCTAAGCGAGAGAAATTTTCACAATGCAAACAAGACAAATTACAGTCAAACAAGACAAAAATAATACAAATGAGAGAAAAAGGAAATCGAAAATGGAAAAGCAAAGTACGAAAAAGAGAACGGAACAAAAAGTTCAAAAGGCAAAAAAAGAAAATGCTCACGTCCAGATTTGAACTGAAGACCTCGGCATTACTAGTGCCGCGCTCTACCAACTGAGCTACGCGAGCTGGTGTTGAAATTTATTTTGCTATAGACATATATACAGCAATGCATGTCTTTTCAAATTGAATTTTGCTCAATGGTCGCTCTGCCCCGCCGGATATACTGGGAAAAGAGTCATCGTTAATTTTGGCCGAAACACCGCAAGACTAATTACCCCACCACCTGCACAGCTTCCGCCAAATCCTCTGCAGGACACATCTGCAGCCATGGCGTCCGACATGACCGCTCAGATTCTGGACTCCTTGTCCAAGTCCGATGCGCCCATCCTCTCCAACGAAGCCTACCCCTCCACCCCCTCATTGAACGTTAAAAGTGCGCTGGACCGCCTAGGCTCGCGACAGATGATCGAGTATGAGACTCTAGAGAAGGATGTCGTTATTCTCACCCCTGAGGGTGAGGAGATTGCCAGCAATGGTAGTCACGAGGCCAAGGTCTTTGCCGCCGTTGTCGCCGCTCTGGATGGTCTCAAGATCAGCGACCTGCCTGGAATCGTGGGGAAGGATAATGCCAAGGTTGGCCAGGGCAATTGCTTCAAGCGTGGCTGGATCAAGAAGGACAATGACAAGCTGCGGGCTACCCAGCAGTCAATTGTCGATGAGACCCGCGAGCAGCTTCTCACCGTGCAGCGCACACAGACTCTCGACGACTCCAAGGCTTTGGCCGATCTGAAGCGAAGGAAGCTCATCACCATGTCCAAGGACATTCACTACAAGATCTCCAAGGGTCCCAAGTACGCCAAGGAGTTCGTCAAGGAGGAGACCGATCTCACCCCCGAGATGATCGCCAGCGGTTCCTGGAAGACCGTCCAGCTGAAGCCATACAACTTCAACGCCAAGGGTGCCCCTACTCCCTGTGGCGCCCTGCACCCGCTCAACAAGGTGCGCTCCGAGTTCCGCAACATCTTCTTCGAGATGGGCTTCACGGAAATGCCCACCAACCGCTTCGTCGAGACGGGCTTCTGGAACTTCGACGCCCTCTTCGTGCCTCAGCAACACCCTGCCCGCGACCTCCAAGATACCTTCTACATCGCCGACCCTCTGAAAGCTGACCCTCCCCGCGCGGATCCCCCCAACGACCCGCACCTCCCCAAGTCGGACAAGCCTCTCGACTACCAGAAATACTGGGATAACGTCCACGACGTCCACGAGAAGGGCAAGTTCGGCTCCATCGGCTACCGCTACCCGTGGAACGCGGATGAGTCTCTCCGTCTCGTCCTCCGCACCCACACCACCTCTATCTCGGCATACATGCTGCACAAGCTCGCCGCTGACCCGCGGCCGGCCCGCCTCTTCAGTATCGACCGCGTCTTCCGTAATGAGGCCGTTGACGCTACCCACCTGGCTGAGTTCCACCAGATTGAGGGTGTCATTGCTGACTTCGGTCTAACTCTCGGTGGTCTGATTGGTTTCATGGAGGTCTTCTTTGCGAAGATGGGTATCCACAAGTTGCGCTTCAAGCCTGCTTACAACCCCTACACCGAGCCCAGTATGGAGATCTTCGGGTACCACGAGGGTCTGGCTAAGTGGGTTGAGATTGGTAACAGCGGTATGTTCCGACCAGAGATGTTGGAGTCTATGGGTATTCCCAAGAACATGCAGGTTTACGGCTGGGGTTTGAGTCTGGAGAGACCGACTATGATCAAGTAAGTGCCTTTCCCAACATTATACATAGATCTTTATGCTAATATAATTCATTGCAGGTACGGTGTCAGCAACATTCGTGAGCTTCTGGGTCACAAGGTTGACCTGAACTTCATTGAGTCTAACCCGGCTGTCCGTTTGGAGAAGGAGTAAAATGTTTTAAAATTCTCGTTCTGCATGATTGGAAATGGAATGTCAATAGATAAGACCCTTTGTTTTGAGCCTTGCTGGTGTAGGCTCCTTGGTTTTCGAACCAAGGTGCTTAATCTGATATTATGAGTTCACGTGGAAGACATATTTGTCAATGAAGGAGCAATGAAGCAAAAAGATTATATATGATTTGAGCTGTCAAAACTTCTATTTCTTTCATTTTTCGAAGACTCAAACATTTGAATGCTGGAGACGGTAGATGTATTCATTGCTCTAGTTATCACTCGTCAGGCAAGTATATGTGTCACAGACGATGTTGGTTTACGGAATGTCCCACCCGTATCTGTGCCCCAGTGCATGAAACTCAGCAAAAGTGGCTCTTCAGCAGGCGGGGTTCATGATCTTCGGCGACAGAAGTATTGTTTCTGCCCCCTCGCTCATGGAGCAGACTTTAGTAACACAGACCGGGTCAGCGATCGGTTTCCTAGTCTAGGGTGAGGAGGCTCGACATGCCAACTGGTATAAACCAGCAAGAGAAAAAAGGAAAAAAGGACTAGGAGTACAGCGGGGGTTGAAGTGTTTAAGAATATCATTTGGGGGAATTTTGTTTTCTTTTTTTGCTTTGCCTTGGAAACAGGACAAGAATGCAGATTGCGAGGCGGAAGTCCTCTTAGACGGGGTTCTATCGTCGTGAAATTGGACCCAGGTAATTGAACAATAGGTCTTGGGAGAAAAATCCTGACCCATTAAAGTCGTCGATTCCATTCATTTCGATAGATAGGACAGTAGGAAAACAGGGTTTCTCCAGGGGACTAAAAAAAAAGAAACTTCCAGAGCCGAAGGAGAGGTAGCCGTAGCCTTACCCCAACTCCCTGATTTTTTTCCACCAATCCCCGAACCTGGACCATCTAGCCGCAGTTCGTCTGTGAGAATGTTAGTTGGAAGATCCAGACATTGCATGTAGGCAAACGAAAACGAACCATCATTCAACCCGTCAACAATCACAGTCAAGCGATTTACCGCTGGCTGGAGGCAGACCAGACGTTCTTCAGGTATCCGTCACGCTGAGCGAGGCGGTTGAAGGAGTCATCGCTCTCACCACGGGCACGGATGAAACCGCACAGGGCGTAGGTCTGGTTGTCACCGGTGTAGCGACCGTTCTCGTCAACCTTGCCGACGGAGATCTGGACGGAGGCGTGGTCGTTGGCCTTGATGATGCGGTTGGTGGCGCTGCACTTGCGGGGCACGTAGCTATTCATGCTGCGTTAGTACCTGGCTCCAAGTCTGTTCATTTTTTTTTTTCGAATCCTGTCCTCTGATTCCGTGAGGACCCTGTCATCTGGCTGTTGGCGCATAGCATTATATCAAGATTGTGCGTTTCCCTATGGCCGACAAACGAAATCTCCTTTGTGGCTTGGCTCGTGGGATGCGATTGAGGACGACAGCCAGACTTCAGGGCACCGGGGGGGGGGGAAATCTGTTGGGAAGCGATTCGGAGGGACCAAGTAACGTACAGATCGACGATCTCTCCCTTCTCGTTCTCCATTTTGGCGGGTTGTGTGTTGGGGGGGTTTGACGGGCGACGGTGAGGTTGGAGGTGGATGGAACTTGGGTGGCTCATAAAATTAAAGACCAAAATGGTTTGTGTGGGTCATGTGACTGTTTGTCGAGGGCTGGCGTGGTCGGAGTCGGTGGATCGTGGTATTAGTCATTACCATACATATAGCCGTGGCAATAATTGATCCGAGAATAATCCGGTTCCATATCTATGCTTACAGATTGCTCTGTTCTTTAAATACATCCTTCCTCCATGCTACAGACACCTCCCTTGCACTTCCCTTCTTAAACTTCAAAACCACAACCCGATCTGTCTCGCCTAGTCGACCAGATCCTTTCAACTCGGGGCCGGGATGGTCGAGTGCCAGAACTGTCCGCCCATCCTCCATCATCTTGAGCATCCTGGGCGAGATACATTTATGTGTCCAAGCCGGCGAGCCGGAGTAAATAAACTCGACAAGTGCCGCCCGGCGTTTCTCTAGTTCTTCCACGGAAGCTCCTGACCGAGGCTCCTGGTCCAGAAAGCCAGATACTAGATGCAAAAGAAGGAATTGAGGCGGGAACAGGATAATCTCCCCAGCCTGTGCTCGACGTAGCCACTCAGAAGCTGGAAAAAATTGCGCCTCAGTGACCTCGATTCCGCCATCATCAGTTGGAAGTTGGATCTCTTCTCGCTCTCCTTCGGTGGGTAGCTCCTCAAGTAACCGTTTATCTATATCCATAGGCAATGGCATGAAATAGATATACATCTGTGTCGTATATCGTTTGGGAACGTTTGTAGGCGTTACCCAGCGAGAAAATGGGATCAATTTACCTTTTTGAATCAGCTGAGATCTTGTTGAGCAGCGAGTCAGGAATAGTACTTACTGATATCTGGCTGGGCGGTAGGGTTTTGCTGTTTCAGCCACTTGTCAAAAGTGATTTTGTTTTGGTGAATCAATCGTCGACCTTGCTCTCTGGTGGCCTCATCAATCACGAGCATCTTCCCGGTGCTCCCGTCTTGAGCTAGAAGAATTCCACTTTCCTCGAATAGCTCCCTGATTGCCGCGTTCCGGTAGTGAGGTGCGTCATCGTGCACGGCGTGGTCCTCAGGTGGTGGACATGATCCATCCTGGCCCGAAAGGTTTCCACCGGGGAAGACATGAGCAGATGCAAAAGAGGAGGATGTGTGGACACGATGCAGAAGAAGGATCTCATTGTTTGGAGATACAAGAATTACGCTGGCTGTGGGTTAGCTAAATATGTTCTTTTCGGTTTCCCATAGAGGGCATGCGAAGAACATTCCCGAGGGCTAGATACTGTACCTAGAACTGGGCCGAGGAATAGCTACCTCCTTCCTTTTCCCATCTTTTGCGTGTGACATTTTTTTGGTCTGCGATATAGGCGCTGAACTTGGAGCCGTGTAGTTTCTGATCGAATTCCGTCGACTTTTCAATGGTAGAGTCAAGGGGCGCGCGATTGATAGTTGTGAAAACGGTGACAAGAGAGTCGAATGGGTTAATCGACACGCCAGAAATCGGTTACCGAAATACCCTGAAACGATATACGACATTGTAAAGGATGGTGCGGAGAAGCCAGAAGTTTACATAGAGCTAAAAGGTAAATGACCCGAGAGCCTAGGCTTAATCCCTGTTACCCCGCGTGCTTATCCCTATCAGGCTAGCCCGACAGCCCGGCAGCGCCATGTGCGAGCTACATCTACAGATGGATTGCTCCAATACGATGGCAACTACAAAGAAAGTTTGTCTTCAAAAATATACGTATTCTCATTAAATCAAAAGCGATTGCTCCGATAATAACTCTAACTCCAATCTCATCAAACCTCCTTTTTTTATTTCCAAGTCCTTAGCATCGCGGACATCCCAGTCATATTCACATTCACAGCAAGAAAGTATTTTCAACGTTTCAAAAAAAGCCTGGATCTTACGAGTAAAGCTTCTTGTCGTAGCTGTGAAGACCGTGGACGTTACCCTCAACCTGGGCACTGGCACTGCGCATCTCAAAGCGGACAGTGCCGTTGTTGACACCGTCGTGGAGGGCATCGAGGCTCTTGACACCAATGTCCTGCAGGGAGTGCTGGACACCAGCAATGAGGTAGGGAATGAACTTGGTGATGGAACCACGGTCGAGGACGGAACCGGCGACACCCTGGGCGACCAGGACGTGGTCCTTCTCGGAGAAGTAACGGGCAGTACCGGCGTTGCTAGCCTGGGTGTCCTTGTTGCTACCTCCGGCCTTCTTGTCCTCCATGGCAGCAATACTGCCCATACCACGGTAGGCCTTGACGAGCTGACCCTCATTGCTGACGAAGTACTCACCAGGAGACTCAGTGGTACCGGCGAGGAGACCGCCCATCATGACGGTGCTGGCACCCATGGCCAGACCCTTGACGATGTGACCAACGTTCTGGACACCACCATCGGCAATACAGGGGACACCGAAACGAGCGGCGAAGTTGGAGACGCTGCGAACAGCGGCGGCCTGGGGACGGCCGACAGCCATGACCTCCTGGGTGATGCAAGCACTACCGCTGCCCATGCCAATTCTCAGGCCATCGGCACCGGCGGCGATCAGAGCGGCAGCCTGCTCGCGGGTAACAACGTTACCGGCAATAACATCAATCTCAGGGAAGGTCTCCTTGACGTACTTGAGCATGTTGATCATGTACAAGCTGTTACCCTGACTGCTGTCCAGGATAACGATATCAAGACCAGCCTCGGCGAGAAGCTTGAGGCGGGCCTTGTCCTCCTCACGGGTACCGATAGCGGCGGCACAGATGAGCTGCTTGGAATCGGGGAGCTTGGAAGCCAGGGGGTAGTGCAGGTTCTTCATCAAGTCCGAGCGAGACAGAAGGGAGACAATATTGCCATCCTTATCGACGATGGGCAGCTTGCCCTTCTTCGACTGACGGAGAACTTCGTTGGCCTCAGCCAAGGTAGTACCAGCGGGGGCTGTGACCAGATCCGTGGCCATGATGGCAGTCACGGGGTCAGAAAGGTTCTTGTGGAACTGGATATCACGGGAAGTGACCATACCAACCAGCTTGGAGCGGAGGGTACCATTCTCTGTCGAACAATTGATGTTAGCGTCAATGTAAGACCAATGGTATGACTCGAAACGTGAGATGTAAAAATGATCAGGTAAAAATGTTCTCTACAATGCAGCTCTCGCTGCTCCCAGTGGAACGAAAGTTATAATAAAGGTTTGTTCATCATGCAAGGGTGGATGTTGGGCAAAAACAATACTTGGGATGCAAAACTTACCAGTGACAGGGAAGCCACCGAAGCCCCACTTGGCCTTCAGGTCCTTGGCCTCACCAACGGTGCAAGTAGGAGAGAGAACAACGGGGTCGAGGATGAAACCGTTCTCGTATCTCTTAACCTTGCGGACCATCTCGGCCTGGTCCTGGGGAGCACAGTTGTTGTGAATAACACCAAGACCACCGAGCAGCGCCATGTGGATGGCCATGTTGTGCTCAGTGACGGTGTCCATGGGGGAGGACACAAGAGGAGCCTTCAGCGAGATACGCTTAGTAACAGGGGTGTCCAGAGTCACATCGGAGGCGGGGAAGCCTGTTATCCGATATGGTTAGAAAATTTTTCATCTCAGATCAGAACCCCGCCAAGATTGGACTCACCAATGTAACCGGGGAGAACGAGGAAATCGTTGTAGGTCAGGGCTCCGTGCTTGTCGGAGTCCAGGAGAGTGTCCACATCCAGGCCATCCTGGGTGGCGTAGGTCTTCAAGACCTCGAGAGCAGTGGTGTAGTCCGCGATCTCAGCCTTCATGGCGGCACCGGGCGCAGCCTCCTTCTGGGTGATAGGCATTATTAGAAGAAAAAGAAGGTATCTCTGGTTCCTTAGAGTGAAATAGGACCTGGGATAAAAGGGTATAAAATCAACAGATAAGAAACCTTCTGTTGATGGAGAGAGACCAGCTTTCCCAAAGAAAAGAAGAAGAAGAAAAAAAGTTCGAGCGAAGAAGCTTCCTTTTCTTTTTTCCGTGCACGGCCACGCTCGGAGGGCACTTGTCCTATCATGGACTAGCGCGATATCTTTTTTCACCATAACGTGCTGTGATTGGCTGTTAAACGAGGTTCTGGTAGGCGGTGACATGGCTGGTGCTTAGAAATGATATCTAATACGGCACTTCCAGCGTACTTATCAATTGTGACAAATGGTGACATACGACATTTTCAGTAGATTTAGAGCTTTTAAACATGCTTTGTATAATTTATCTTATAGATAGATCCCTCATCACGGAGGTCTATCACGGTTTGTCAGCACATGTCATTGTTGGTGTTGTACTCCGATCTCGGATCTCGAGTCCCTCAAATAAGTTGAAGTGTGTATATTTTCAAATACCTAGGTACTCCGGTGGTACATTTCTCATGCTATTGCTAATGACTTATTGATTGGCTCCTGTGGGGTGGTACTACTGTGCCTTCTGCAGCCCTTGCAGCAATCTGCGGCCCGAGCAGTTCCGGTAGAGCTTAATAGGGCCATGACGACACCGTGGCCGTGATAACACTGTAAGCCGAGATTCAGCACTTGATCGTAATATTCTCTGTCTCGATGAGTCAAAAAGACTCTGATACGTTTCGTTGAGCATTATACACGAAATAAGCTGGTGATGTCTTCGGAAAGTAGCACAGGCTTTTATATCTCGACCTTAAAGAGACATAAATCCCGATTTCATATGCCTAACAAATGGGGGCTACTCGATATGCAAATAAACAGGAGGCAGTTGAGTGAAACCAAAAGACAGAAACTGCCATATCATGCATGAGAACAGCTATCACAGAAGCCATGCCTCAGCCCCGTTGATGGCTTTGTCCCACCCGTCTTCATTCTGCCAAACTGCGATACTCTCGACTTCATCTTTCCCCAGTTTCAAGCCGTTATATAGGTGCTTGAGTATAGTCAGTAATTGTGATCCCGATCTCAAACTCTTTATATTTTGGTAAGCATTTTTGATAGCGACCGACTCACAGGGAACAAGCCTTCTCCGGGTCGTGGGCCGCAGACCTTCCCGTCGGGGGACTCCCAGCGGACATCTTGCATCACACGTTCATACTCTATACGTAGAATATATACCAACGGTTCATCCTTGAAGAAAAATTTGAGCGTATTGGCAACTTGGGTCGCCATCGAGAGATGGACAAATCCCGAGTCTTGGTCCAGCTGGCTAACGGGCAAACGCTCAGGAAGTGGCTCGCAGACCGGTGCGGCGGAGGGGATAATCTTGTAGATGTAACGGGGCTGAGAATCGAGTGCTGCCATACTGAATGTGAGGGCGGGGTGGAGTGGGAAGATGATTCAAAGGCCGTGACGGATGTCACTTTCTGCCTTCCCCGCGCCAGATTTGCTGATCGGCTTAACATACGCTCCCACCTTAGGAGTTAACCATTGACTTAGATCTGAAACTAAAATAAAGTAGCCAGAGTAGCACCTGAGTTGGAAAACAAGCTTTCTATGTTTATTTGCTAGTCAAAAAGCCGTTGAAAAAATACACTATGTATATACAATCTTCCACAGCGGGTTCATTCGCTCCGTAAACATGCACAGAAGCAAGCGAAAGCATGTATTGAAACATATAAAGAGATTACGTATTCCACATGAAATTTACATATGTAGCGTAAATAGATCTTCATACATCTGCATGATCTTGCAGTAATCAATTGATATTTCTAGCAGCCGCTTCTTCCCATTGACCGGAGGATTAAGGCAGTGAATGGTGGTGGCTAGGTGCTTGCGTTACTGTTTGACACGTCTATTTGACATTTATCTCTGAAAGTAAGGGTGATAACCTTCAAATGTTGAACCTGGACAAGCAGTCAATTATTCATAGCGCATCAGACCAGCTCATCACACAGAATGGTGCCTTGATTACAGCTGATGATGATGAATGGTACCGTACATAATCTTTCTTGGTCCTAAACTTTTGGTCGAGGATATATATACATACCACAAATGCAATTATGAATAAAGATGGTGGCTTGCAAAAAAGAAAACTGCCAGTGGGTCATCTGCAAGGGTATTCTTATCTAGGAATTAGTTTAATGGTGTTTCGTCGCCATCATTTCTACACTAAAGCTTGGGTGGATTACTCGTGTCGAAGATATTATGATGGTCGCACGGGACTACGGCCCACAGTTGAACCCGCATAGATCTAAGCCGCTTTTTCGGCGGATATAATTATAAGCTGCATACATCATTTAAGATAAGGGAATCGCGATACCAGATGGGTCCAAAGTATGCAAAATAGGAAAATAAGATGAGAATAAGTAATTTGGATCAAAGATGATGAGAAACTCATTACATCTATGCCAATCACGTGATCAAAGACTGAGGGATCGACCGCGATCAGCTGATTGCACTAGTCCAGATCGGGAGATTTGTTTTGGACGAGTCCCAAATGGGTATTGGAGAATGCCGGTTCGCTCCTGCCCCGTTCCTACCCCCCACTGTCAACAAGAGTTCCATCGTAGGGCCCTTGGAAAACTGAAACTTTCAACATATTCTTGCAAGACATCTCTTTGCATCTACCTTCCGAAGAATACCAACGCCACTTGCGCTCGCCAGTCCGCGTTCCCATATCACATTCCGAACGACCGATCCAATCCAAACAACACCTGAATTGCTCCAATCTCGAAATCAGCCACCACACCCCGCTTCTGTTACTGAAGCAGGGATGCGGTCTATCGAGCACAAGAATCTTTCTTCGGTGTTTGCATTCCTGTCGCAACGTTAATAGTGATGTCCAGTCAATTCCCATCGCTGAAGCGAACCCAGACGGATCTCCCCGCTCAGTCATCGAGTCCGCTACGAAACGGGTCAACCGCGTCCACTAGCTCCTCTGCATACTCGGTCGCATCGAGTTCATTTGCTCCAAGCCGGACGAGTACGGTCTCTTCTAATGCGTCCATACAAAGCAACCTAGGTCACCACCGAGGAAAGAGTGAGGCAAGTGTCCTAATGGAGTCAACAAATGGAGGGTTTTCGGCGAGTGCTGGGTCGACATATGAAAACATTCGCCGGTCTTTACGGCCCCTACAACAAGCACCCAACGTCAGTCCAGCACCCTCCAAGCCTGCATATCGACACTCTCGCAGCTATACCACCGACCAGCAACATTACTCCAAGCATGCGCGACCAAGTACGCCCGAGTTACACCATGTTCATTTTAAGGAGAATGAATCGCCCCGATATAAATCCCCTGCCTTCGAGCCTCAGACTCCTCCACATGGATCTTCGCCCCGTCACTGGTCACCCACTCCAACTCCAGGATCTTCGCGGCCTTCGTCACCTCAAAAGGCTCTGCCTGGAAGCCCGCTTCCAGCCCAAATTACGACAGCCATCTCCGCACCAGAGCTTGAAACGTTCCAAAAATCATCCACACGCCATCTCAGAACGTTATCCAAGTTTGCTCAATCTGGCGAAGGCGAGGAGTTTCAACTCGCGTCTGCAACAACCTCTGTAGTTGGTCTACAAGGACGGCGACGATTAAAGCGAGCGAACTCAGTGGCTGGAAGCAGTGGCTCGATATCACCAGTAAAACCCAAAGTGTCATCATGGGCAGCAGGGAAGTGGATGGATCAACAGCGGCAATTCCTGCAAGCGTACGAATACTTGTGTCATATTGGTGAGGCCAAAGAGTGGATTGAAGAAGTTACGAAGAAGGAAATTCCCCCAATTGTTCAGCTAGAGGAGGCTTTGAGAGATGGTGTGACCCTCGCGGAGGTGGTCCAAGCCATGTACCCCGACCGGGCTTTGCGCATCTTTCGAAATGCAAAGCTACAGTATCGCCATTCAGACAACATTGCCTTGTTCTTCCGCTTCCTTGACGACATCCAACTCCCCGAGCTTTTTCGATTCGAGCTCATCGATCTTTATGAGAAGAAGAATCTCCCGAAAGTCATCCACTGTATTCATGCCCTTTCTTGGTTGCTGTTCAAAAATGGCATGCTGGACTTTCGCATGGGTAACCTAGTTGGTCAGCTTGAATTCGAGCATCATGAACTCGAGAAAACTCAGAAGGGTCTTGACAAAGCGGGTGTTAGCATGCCGAGCTTTGCAGGCATGGCTGCCAACTTCGGCGCTGAGCCCGAGCCCGAGCCCGAGCCCGAGCCAGTTGAATCGGAAGAAGAGCGAATTGACCGCGAGCTGCACGAAAATGAAGGCGCGATTTCCGATTTCCAGGCTCAGATTCGCGGAGCGATCATGCGCTTGAAGCTTGGCAACACGATGAATGACCTTTGGGATTTTGAGCCTTTGCTCATTGAACTGCAATCCCGTATACGTGGTGACTGGGCTCGTCAAATTAGCCATTACCGTCTCGAGATGCGTCAGTTTGCAGTTCAATTGCAAGCAGTTAGCCGCGGATTTATTGTACGCCACCGGCAGCAAGGTGACATGCAAATTCGAAAAGACCAAGAGTGCGATATCCTTGAGCTCCAGAGTCTCATCCGGGCTTCCAAGTTGCGAGCCCAGACCAGCTTATTACAGACCCGGATTCGAAAAGAGCAGTCTGGAATTAAGAGCTTCCAAGCCGCAATCAGAGGTGCTCTCCAGCGAAAGATTGTGGCTGACCAATATGAAGACACTCGCTATGCGGAGGATAATGTCACAGCTCTCCAAGCGGCCATTCGGGGTGCTCTTCAGCGAAAGTTGGTCACTGCTCAGTACGATGAAACTCGGTTCGCGGAGAACAATGTCACTAGTCTTCAAGCAGCAATTAAAGGGGCTCTCCAACGAAAGGTGGTCGCCGATCAGTACGAAGAAACTCGATCCGCGGAGAACAATGTAACCGCCCTTCAATCGGCGATAAGGGGTGCCCTCCAGCGAAAAATGGTTGCTGATCAATACGACCAAACTAAATATGCGGAGACTGCTGTGATCGCTCTTCAAGCAGCCATCCGTGGCTCTTTACAACGGCAGCATATGACTGTACAGTCGCAGCAAGTCGAGAAAGCCAACAGTCCAGTCAAGTCTCTTCAGGCTGTGATTCGTGGCAACCTTGCTCGTCAGAGCATGGCCCAAGTCAAGGCTTCCCTACAAGAAGAGAGCGATGCTGTCACCATACTACAAGCAGGGGCCAGGGCACTTGCGTCAAGGACACGCCATCTGCAACTGCTGGATGCTTTGTCAAAAACCCGGAATGAGTGCACAGAATTCCAAGCCTGCGTACGGGCTGCCGCAATCAGGCAGAGCTGTGGAGTTCTCCGTGGTGAATTAGCCGAACATACTTCATCGGTCACTTCTCTGCAGACAATCATCCGAGCGAACGCTCTGCGAGATTTCTTGAACTTGCAAAATGAGGCGCTTATGAACGCCGAGAGTTCTGTGTTAGATGTCCAGTCTATGGCCAGGGGCTTGATTCAGCGTACTCACCGGGATATCGAACGGAAAGCACTGGAGAAGCACGAGCATGCCATTGTGGAGCTTCAGGCACTTTCTCGCGCCGCCATGGAGCGCATGAGGGTTGGTGGAATTCTCAATAGCCTTGAAGACTGTGAAGAAGATGTTGTTGAGGTTCAAGCTTTGGCCCGCGCGATGATCCTTCGAATCCAGGTTGGCGAGATGCTTGCAGACCTAGAAGATGAGGAAGATATCATTGCTGACCTGCAAGCGCACATTCGTGGGACCATCGTCCGGAATCGCTTCGAGGAAAGACGCCGTCATTATAACACGAACATGGAGAGGGTCATCAAGGCGCAAAGTGTCATTCGCGGTCGGATTCAAGGACGGGCGTACAAAAGCTTGACCACTGGTAAAAATCCACCCGTTGGTACCGTCAAGGGCTTTGTCCATCTCCTCAATGATAGCGATTTTGACTTCGATGAGGAAATCGAATTTGAGCGACTAAGAAAAGCCGTCGTTCAACAAGTCCGACAAAATGAGATGGCAGAACAATACATCAGCCAGCTGGACATCAAGATTGCTCTGCTCGTCAAGAACAAAATCACCCTCGATGAAGTTGTCAAGCACCAAAAGCATTTTGGTGGTCATATTGGTAACTTGCTATCAAACACTGATATCTCTTCGAAGGATCCGTATGATCTTAAGGCTCTGAACAAAACCTCCAGAAGAAAGTTGGACCAGTATCAAGTGTTTTTCTTCCTTCTCCAGACCCAGTCACAATATCTTGCAAGATTGTTCCGGCGGCTTCGCGAGATCAACACTTCAGACAAGGAGTATGAAAGAATCAGACATCTAATGATGGGCCTCTTCGGGTACTCACAGAAGAGACGAGAAGAATACTATCTTCTGAGGCTTCTTGCACGCTCTGTCAAAGAAGATATCGAAGGTTTCACGTCTCTGTCCGAGTTCCTGCGCTGTCATTCCTTCTGGAACAAACTGTTCGGCTCCTATGCCAAATCACCCCGCGACCGCAAGTTCATGCGTGATGTGTTGGGTGCGGTAGTGAAGGAGTCAGTCATTGACAACCCTGAACTCGATCTCGAGAGCGACCCGATACAGATTTACCGCTCTTCCATCAATAACGAGGAGCTTCGCACGGGTCAACGCAGTCGACGACCGACAGACCTTCCTCGAGAAGAAGCAATCAGAGATCCCGAGACCAGAGAAACTTTCATTCAAAATTTGCAAGATCTACGTGACGTTGCCGACCAGTTCTTTGCGGCCCTTGAAGATTTCTTGTACCGCATGCCATATGGTATTCGATACCTGAGCAAGCAAATGTACGAGAACTTGCTTGCGCGTTTCCCGAACGAAGACCCTGGGTTCGTTCTCCAGACAGTTGGTCACTGGGCGTGGAAGAGTTACTTCCAACCGGCTTTGTTAGAGCCAGAGAAGTATGGTGTGGTGGACCGAGGCTTGACACAAGAGCAGAAGAGAAACATTGGGGAAATTGCAAAGGTAGTTGCGCAGGTCGCTTCTGGTAGACTCTTTGGAGCTGAAAATGTTTACCTTCAACCTTTGAACACCTACATTGGCGAGTCAATACAGCGGCTAGGACGCATTTGGGGACAGAGTGAGTCAATTTCGAGGGTTACCTTTCTCACTGAAGCTAACTCCAAGTAGTGATCTCGGTCCAGGATGCAGAAGCCTATTTCGACATTGATGAATTTAACGATCTTTACGCCAAGGCTAAACCGACTTTGTACATTAAGATGTCCGACATTTTCTCTATCCACCAACTTGTCGCCTCACAGATTGACTCTATGTGTTCACACCCGGAGGATTTCCTCAAACAGCTTGTCAGGGACCTGGGCAATGTGAAGAGCAATGAGAATGAACTTATGAGTGTCAGCTCGACTGAGATCAACCTCACACTCAATCCAAAATTGGCTCAGGTTGAAGGTAAGAGAATTCTTGAGAAGTTTTGTAATCCAGCTTTGCTAACATGATACGATAGATCCGGAAGCAGCCATCAAGACCCTCTTTATGGAGACTAAGCGATGTATACTTTATATCATCCGTGTTCAAAGTGGTACCAACTTGATGGACATTATGCTCAAGACACCGAGTCACGAAGATGAAGAACGCTGGGATACTTTGGTGAGAGAAGAGCTGAACACCGGCAACCCACGCAGAGGTGCCTACTCCGAGGCTAGCACTTTGGTCGATATTGGCTCGATGAGCTACACAGAACTGAAGGGGACTGCTTTGGAGAACATACTTCGTCTCGAGCAAGCTGGCAAAATTAGTCGACAAAACCACTACCAGGATCTACTGAACGCTATCGCCATTGATATCCGAACAAAACATCGTCGGAGAATCCAGCGAGAGCGTGAACTGGAGGGTGCACGCCAAACCTCACTCCGTCTAAGTGATCAAGCTTCCTATCTGGAGGGACAACTCAAGACCTACAACGATTACATCGAGCAGGCCATGATCACACTTCAGAACAAGAAGGGAAAGAAGCGATTCTTGATGCCATTTACCAAGCAATGGGATCACCAGCGAGAACTTCAGAAATCTGGCAAGGTTTTCAAGTTCGGATCTTACAAGTACTCTGCTCGCAACCTGGCTGATCGTGGTGTGCTGGTTGCCTGGAAGGGTTACTCTGATCGGCAATTTGATCGGGTGGATTTGACAATTTCTAGTAACGAAGTGGGCGTGTTTACCATTGACGGCAGTAGTGGTAACATGATGGTCCCTGGTGCCAATGCACAGGTACCACTGGATGACCTATTACAAGCCCAATTCAACAACACACAATACATGGACTTCTTCGACGGGCAGATGAGGGTCAATGTGAACCTTTTCTTGCATCTGATCATGAAGAAGTTCTACAATGAATGATCTTCTCATGATTACGGATTTGATGAGGGATGAACCGGTTCGGGCATATTCTTGGGCATATTATTCATACCCTATTTTTCTTTGTTTCAGATACCTATTGACTTTTATGTATTGATTTTCAACAGCGATAATGTTACGGTTCTACATTAGTAGCCGAATGAACGTGTACACAATAAAAAAATATTCGGCCTCGAATTCTATATTCTAAGTAAACATGTATCAAACATCTCGTGATAAGGACTTGCACGTATTTATACGTTTTTCATGGGTCTTACCTGGAATGGAAACTCAGGCACCTGGGGAGCATGTTATTCGTGAAATTTCAAGCTACTATGTTGATTCAATGACTATTTTCTCCTACTGTGGATGTATCATTGATAGCTTAGTGCAAAGGACCAGGACTCTGATAACGACTCGCCTCATGGCGATGAGAAAAGGCTTAGTTGACGCGAAGCTCACGACTGAGAGCTTCGATTGGTCTTTATGTAAAGAGACCCGCCCAAGCTTAAACCTCTTGGCTGGTTTTAGTTAAATACTTTTGGCTTTTCAGATGAACATTTGGACTTCCAGGATCCAAAATCCAGAGCTGAAAGCTCCAATTCGATTCTGAATATCCATTCAGCCCCACTTCTATTAGCATCGGTGTTTGATAATACGGCCTATTTAAGTTAATTACTTTTGCTTTCTCAAATGACTATGTGGACTTCAGGATCCAGGATCCAGAATCCAGAAGCTGAAAGCTCCGATTTGCTCCTGAATATCCATCCATTCAGCTCCACTTCTTTGGCGCCGGCGTTTTGCTTACGTGCCCTACTTTTATTTCCACATTAAGATTACAGGTGGTACAGTTTCTACCAAGCTACAACGTCTTATAATGCCTTGCCCGATAATCCTACTACAAGCCTCCCATATAGGGCTCTACTATAGAACGTTACATACATAGCAAAGGGCCCCACTGAAAGATAGCAGTAGTATACTAGGAAGAAGCCGAGTATTACCTACCGAATTTATAAACCCTTGTACGGTCAAACTTCCTGAACTTTCTTTCACTTCTGCTTTTACTTTCTTGCCTTGAGAGTTCCAAAGTTATCGCCGAAAACATCAGCTATATACCAAGGTTATTAGTTTCTTCAACACCAGACAGATATTACACTTTAAAATGACGGATCAAACCAATCAACCCTATTTATTCTGCCTGGCCCCATGGGGGCACCCGCCGTTTATTCCGCGCGGAAATCCCGTTCACGTTCCAGTCAAGGGCAAAAGATTGTATATATGACTGGCGTAGCGATATATACTCTAGCGTTATGAGCTTTATTGCTGAAGTTTCTATGGCTAAGTCAAGTGGTTCTACCCTCTTTAAATTTCAATTACTGATTGTATGATAGCCCGGGAAAGCTCGATGAAGGACATACCTGTTATGTTTATGTTTGAAGAAATGAAGCGACGGGAGGCTTTGAAGTTCATTGAACAGTGAATGTACAATCTTGGAAGAAAATTTCCACTGTCTAGGCATTACCGAAAATTCAGAAAAGTAAGTAAGTGTTTATATGCTTAGCTGGGGATGGTGAAACTGCTTGAAAAAGTGGATCAGCGACCAACCTCTCGATGGCCTGGCCTGGTCGGGAGGTGAGCCAGATCTGTAAACAGGATTTCATCCCAAATTTTCATAATACCGCGCGTTCAAATGGGTCAGCTCGCTTCTATTTTCCTTTCACATTTCCTCTCTTAATTTGTATTGATTTCCAACAGCGATAATGTTACGGTTCTATGTTAGTAGCCGAATCAAAATGTACACAATATAACAATCGTCCGGCCTCGAATTCTATCTACTGATTGAACATATATTAAACATCTTCTGATAAGAAAATGCACGTGCTGCATCTATTATCTTGATCCGATTCCTGTCTTTGCTCCGCACTTACCCCTCTACAAATCACACGATGGTCTCATACCCAGAGGACCGTGTCGCTATTATCGTCGGAGCTACTGTGAGTAAACAAAAATAATGATGTTCGACATAAATACTCATCATTTGGTCCAGTCAGGCATCGGCGTCGATCTCGCCAAACACCTCTGCTCAAAAGGCTGGAAGGTAGCTTGCACAGGCCGACGCCAATCCGCCGGAACCCAACTCCTAAAAGACCTCGCAACAGAGAACGCCTTATTCTACCCCGCCGATGTCTCCAAATACGAAGATTCGGCCACAGTATTCCAGAAAGTATTCGAACTCTGGGGCCACATCGATGCCGTTTGCGTGAACGCAGGAATCGTCGACCAATCCTCTATCTACGTCTATGACTCGAAGAACAAGTCGATTGAGGATATCCCGCCCGCGCCGGATACCTCTGTCGTGGATATTAACTATAAAGGTATTTTGTATTGCACTCAGCTAGCGACACATTTCATGCGACACAATCCTCAGCCTGGGGGGCGGGTGATAATCACTGGGAGCATTGGAGGTATTTTCCCACATTCATCATATCCGATCTACTGTGGGACCAAGGCGGCCGTTAATCAGTTTGTTCGTGGGACGGCGCCGTTGTTGAAGCTGAAGGATAATATTTTGCTTAATGTTGTTATGCCTGGGATTGTGAACACGCCTATTGTTCCGCCTGAGATGATTGCTGTCGTTTTGCCTGAATGGTGAGTGATGTTATTTATCTAGAACCGGGAAATTTTAGAGGGCTGACTTATTTTTGCAGTCTTACTCCTGTCGAGACAATCTTGAAGGCATATGATGTGTTCCTGGACGATATGACTGGCATGGCGGGGCAGTTGCTTGAAGGCTCGGCGGATAAGTTGATATTCTATCCAATGCCCGAGCCGGGTAATGGGCGTATAACTAAACGGGCGGTTACTGTGTGGGAACCCTTGTTTGAGATGATGCACGGTGAGAAGTCGAGCCCTCCTGGAGCTATTCCTTAACTTTAGCTTGTAATGGACGCTCCGGAGGTTTCTTAGCTTATTATGAGCGTATTGAGACTGGACAGACGATTACTATCTTTCAAAATTCTCCGAAATTACTCCGCACTAGTATTCAATCTCGATATTAGTCGAGCTTTGGTAATTGAAACACCACGAAATTGCCAGTGGATCCCTTAAACTATGAACGACAACTTTCTCTACAGGCTAATTAAAATGATTTGTCTGGATGGACCTAACACCCATTCTCAGATGATTCGATAGTCTTTTAACCGAGACGAATAATTTAGTACTATCCATCGTCTAAGATTACTGCAGAATTGTAGCGGTGCACGCCACCTCGTGGGCCGTGGACGGGACATAGCGCCACCTGCGGTTAGGGCTCAGTCCGGCCGTTCTTACTTAGAGCCGACGACCCATCAAGTGGAGAAAAGTCCGGGATGCGATTCCTTCGAGGATGCGGGTGCACTTTTTCGACAGATAATGGTTAATTACCTCGGCTAAGTTGAAAGTCACATTTATTGCATGAGAAAGCTTGATATTCATGATGTCTCGACTCATCAAGAACCCCATCGACTTGGTTTTCAAGCTCAGTTGCTCCCATAACCTCGCGCATGCCATCATCACGGAATCCGTGCTGGTCTCGAAAGTATCTTCCGGTGTCGGAGATCTCTACTGCGAACCCATACAGCTTGCAGGCAGTTTCATTTACCAAGGCTGTCAGTTAACTTTGGCCTGCGGGGCTACCACCATCCCCTAGTTGAAGAACTATCTGAGCGGTAGTCTCTAGTTTAACAAACCGATTCTGGGGGAAATGCACCATCATTTCTCTTCGACGAAATTTGTTGGCACGATACCCGGGAAGATGGCATTTACGCGCATCCCGTTGGCGCGGAAGTTGGCCGCTATCGACCGCATGAAACAATCACTCCGACTGCTAAATTTTAGCCTGACGGGATAAGCATAGTCGGACTCACCGCCATTGACTTGACTACGGATTAGAGAGGAGAGTAGGCAGATGGATAGAGCCCGTCACAGCTGGCAGTCGTCACCACATTGGCATCACGCCCCTTGTGAGGCGATAGACAGAAATAGTGCTGTGCCAACCAAGTGGTAGGAACCACTCCCTTCAAGTCTGTGCCGATAGGTTAAAGATCTGAGTCAGGTGGTGGTACTTTCAATTCAGTGGGTGCCGGAGCGTATGTCCGTTCAATCACCCCCGTACTGGCGAACACGAAGTCGAGTCTGTCACAACCTAAGAAGGACTTTTGAAAAGTATCACATAGCTCGCCATAATTTGTCACATTTGCACTGTGGAAGACGACACGGGGTAGGTATTGAGTAAGCTTCAGTCCGGCAGTTTCATTGATTGCAAGAATATTCAATACCCTGTCTCCGCGAGCAGATAGTTCCTGGGCAACGGCCAGGCCCATACCACTAGCTGGGAGAATTAGAATTAAGCTAAACTTTACACGCAAAGCTCAATTCAAAGATTGGCTTACCACCCCCAGTGATCAAAGCAATGTTGGCAGCCATGACGGATAATGATTATACAGCCAAAATACCCCGCGATGCATGGAATGCGTTGAGCTCTGGATAGAACTATGACATATTAGTAATCAAATTTGCAGTGTCAAATGAGATGCAGGATGAACACACGATGAACTATAAGGTAATGATCTCGAGGTCTCCACACTCGATTCTTCTTGGACTAAAGGATCCCGCACAGCAGACCATCTTGCTTATACAACGAAAAGTCCCTGAGACTTCAGAATATCGAGTCGTCAAAAGAGAAAATATCAGAGGCAGTATATGAGCTCGATGATGGTCGACCATGAAACCCGTGAACATGCTTGATTAATCTATGGAGAATAGATTATATCTCATTAAGAAGTTACCCATGAAGTAGATAATAGTAGTCTGCATAGTGCAGACTACCTTGATTGGTTAGCCAAAATCTACCTGACTGGGCCGAGGCAAACGAACTATGCCAGCAACTGTAAGTACATCATCTAGCTCCTCCAGGCCGCGGGGTCCTCTCGAGTTTAGTCGAGCAAAATCTGCAATAGTCAGAGGCTCATATTAATGGCATACTCGACAAATGTCTCAACGATTAAGATATTGATCATTATGCTGGAACGAAGGCAGCAACTCAACCTTAAGAATGACTAAAGGGGTATTCAAGATGGAAATGGAGCAGACTCAAGAAGGCTTTGCATTTAAAGGAATGGAAAATTTGCCCCGAGATGACATTGGATCTGCCATATGTGCAAAGGAGACATTTCGTCTAGTAACTCTGGACCATCTACTTGAGAGTATCTTCCTGAATGTACCAAGCCGACTGCAATTATCTAGATCGGATGTATTCATCATGGTCACCCCCATCCTCATGTCTCGCAAGCTCTGATTCCTCTTCCAACGCAAGATTATTCTCGCTTTAATGTTCAGCTCCGGTGTCATCATCTACACAGTCCTCTGCTGCCATTACTCATCTCGGTGACATCAGCAACCTTCCCCTTGACATCCGCTGGGACGACTGCGAATCTTCCGTTGACACCATCGTCGTCTCACTCCCAGGTATCAAGCCGCTATTCCCGTGGCGTGGGCTGGCTCGGATTTTAAGTTACTCAGGATCAAAGAACGTTTACAGCATTGAGGGGTATAATAAGTTCGCCTCTTGAGGCGACATCAGGACGGAACACGGCTATGTCTAGCGCACTGGCAATCGCAAGAGCCTTGGATTTGAAATCTGTTGTAGGGCGTGCGCAGAAAGGACCCTCGTCTGAAATAGTGGAGGCCAATGCTTGATGGCGGTGGAAATCTCGCGACTGCAGATGGTCCGAGAAACATCGTGGCCAGTAACGAGACAATTTCTCTATCCAAGTGACGAGTGAGTTGAGTTTCAAAGAAGAGAAACAAAGGACTTGCCTCATAATATTCGCCAAATTTGTATTAATACGGAGTATGAACGGAATACTAACCCCGGATATGTCCCCGAGCAAAATGGCTGATACTGGTCGATCTAGTAGGCTGATTACCCCAGTACCTCTAAGCCCCAAAATAAAGCAGTAACCATTATCAAAATACCACATAATTGTAAATGACTGCGATATCACTCGTTCTTCCTCATCTATAGACCAGACCATGGAAGTATAAATCTAGGTGGGCCAGACGTTGCTGGGGTCAGGGGTTGCCACGTGACGTGGCGCGTGTAATCGGCCAGCTGGAAACCGATCCATTCCCCTCCACCCCAACACTCCCTTATAATCCCGGGCTTGAATCGCTTCTTCTCTGGCTTTATTGTCCAGGTCTTCTAACCATCATATACTCTTTCCTGTCCCGTCCCATCCCAACCCGACACAGTTAGCGCCCTTCGCCATGGACTTCGCTAGCCTGAAGGACCAGGTCAGCAACCTGACCTTGTATGACCTCAAGGCAGGTGTTCGCAAAGTGCAAAATGGTGCGTTGAACCGGCCAAGTCTGGCAGTGCTGCGATTGAAAGCAACTCGGCTTTGTTGCACAATTCCGAGAATCCTTGGAGAATCCTTGAGCTGACCGCTTCGTCATAGCCGTTATGAACTATACCGAAATAGAAGCCAAGGTCCGTATGCCTACATCCTCGCGCGCAAATACATCATGAATTCTATGAATTTTTGGTTCATGCGATCCGCCATGCGATACTCCTATGACCAGTCACTTACCCGACCTAGGTCCGGGAAGCCACAAACAATGAACCTTGGGGTGCTTCAACCACCTTGATGCAGGATATTGCCAATGCTACAAATAGCTAGTGAGTGAAATTGCTTCCTTTCAATTGAGTAAAGGCTTACGGATTTCCCCAGTCAGCTGCTCAATGAAATTATGCCCATGATCTACAAGCGGTTCACCGACAAAGCCGCGGAGGAGTGGCGACAGATCTACAAGGTACGAGGTCTTCCTTCTGCGATACCAATCAATTACTGACCTCGCTTCCTTGCAATATACAGAGTCTTCAGCTTCTTGAATTTTTGATCAAGAATGGATCGGAACGGGTGGTCGACGACGCAAGATCTCACATGTCGCTTCTGCGGATGCTCCGGCAATTCCACTTTATTGATCAGAATGGCAAGGATCAGGGTATCAATGTGCGCAACCGATCTTCCGAACTGGTCAAGTTGCTAGGTGACGTGGATCAGATTCGCACCGAGCGCAAAAAGGCCCGGGCCAACCGCAACAAGTTCAGTGGTTTCGAAGGTGGTATGAACGTCGGTGGAATGTCTTCTGGCAGCTCTAGCCGCTACGGTGGCTTTGGAAGCGAGACCATGGGATACGGCGGATACAGCGGAGGTGTATACGGGGACGGTGGCGGATTTGGCGGCGCTACAAGTGAATTCCAGGACTCTGGACGCAGGAGCGGCAACAAATTCGACGAATACGACGAGTACGATGAGGGAGACGCTAGCCCCCAGCGACGTGAATCGGCTGCTGCTACGAGCACCAAGCGGGAACCCAAGAAGCCAGAGCCAGCCCCCGCACCTGTGGTTGACCTCTTCGATTTCGGTGACGATGAACCCGTGACAACCACTTCCTCGACTGCTGCTGGTAAGCAGCCCGCTGGAAGTGCTTTGAACATGCTGGATAACAACGATGATGATGAGTTCGACGATTTCCAGTCTGCAACCCCGGCCCCAGCACCGACTGCTTCGCACTTCTCCATCCCCGCTCCTGTCTCGACCGGGAGCACAACCTCCAACACCCAATTTGTGGCGCCTCAACCAGTGTCAGCGTCTCAAGGTGCCAATATCAACGGCATTGTAGGCTTCACCTCGGCGACCCCCACTCCGACTCACAGCACGCTCACCTCTCCTGTCTCGCAGTCTGCCTCCATCCAGCAGCAACAGCTCCCGAAACCTACAGGATTCCAAGCTGCAACCCCCAACTACTTCACCTCTGTCAATCAATCCCCGCAACCCTTCTCCCACACTGCCAACTCTTCCATCTCTTCTTTCAAGGCCCCCTCTACCGCAAGCAAGCCCGCCGCCAAGTCCTCCGGAGACGCCTTCGGCTCGCTCTGGTCCACTGCCAGCGCCAGCGCCGGTATTAGCAAGTCCAACGCTAACGCAAACAAGGGACCCAATCTCGCCAGCATGGCCAAAGAGAAGGCCAGCGCCGGTATCTGGGGAGCACCCGCTGCATCATCATCCCCGGCCCCATCCCAGCCTAAGCAGGGTGGTTCGGCCTTCGACGACCTGCTCGGTTGAACTGAGGCCCGTTGATCAATTTGCGTTATAGTTCTCTACCGAGTAAAGAATCCGGCAATTCATAATTCCAAACTCATTTATGCTCCTTTTTTCACTCATCTTGTTCTATTTGAAAGAAAAGACCCCCTTGTGCTTCATTTTTGTACCTTGACTTACGGGATTGTCTGCCGCTTTAGCAAAGGCTTTGATTTTTGAAAAAATTCTCCTTTTGTCAATTTCTGTTCGTTGAGTAAGATGTGCTGCCGGTCTTTCAATGCTATATATCCCATGGATGTCAGACGTCTTCTCGATGTATCGGAAACACGCATTTGTCCTCCAGGCTCAAATGCTCGCCCTTTAGAATCTCTCTCCACCTGGGCATTCCGAGTGTTGGAACTTTCCGGCATAATTGCAATCCCAAGTCCGAAGTTTCAAATATTCTACTGAGAACATTACTGTTAATCTACCGAATAGAACAGTTGTCTAGGTTGATAGGCATTATGTTAATGCTAATTGATGCTAGGACAACGCCTGCGCTGAAGGAAGCTAGATACACGTGCGAGAGAGTTTAAATGGGGATAGAAACAGAGAAATGTATGGCAGAATTCAGAACATTTGCGGAGGGTGTAGATAAAACGAGAAGTGAAAAACGATTATTTCCATCATTCCAAGCCATCGGTACTAAGTTTTGCCCGGCCAAGGGCTGGTAGTACAAGGCGTCCACGGAATGTGAGGAATATCGGTGTAGAAGAGAAGAGAAGGGTAGGGGGAATCATTCATCAGTCGGAGTTTCGGGTATGGAGTTTCGGTGAAGGGTATGCGGGTGGGGGTTTAGGGATGTTCTCCGGACTAGGACGTAGGTCCTAAAGCGTCCAGACATGTTGGATCTGGAGAGCAGATTCTCGACTCTCCCGGGTTTGTTGGTTACAATATAGCCAGCCGATTGAATTTATAAATCCATGGCAGGGGCACGTTGTGGATAGAGTGAGCTCTATCTCATGGGAGAGGGAACTTCGCCCAGGCTTTAATGCCAATAGAGACCGTCGTAGACAGGGCTCTAATGGGTGAGCCATGTGCTCATGGGTGCCCTGTTCAATAAAGCCGCTTTGGATATGGCTATTTCAGGTCTTTGAAATCATGCTTACACGGGCACCAGAACCACCAGTGGCCTGGCTGGCTTTTTTTGCGCCTTCAGTGGAAAGAGTCATCGGACTGTCGCCTTTGAAATCCTTTGAATCACCCTGGATGGGTGTGGAAGTGCGATCGTCCTCAGTAATATCGATTGAGGCGCTGCTTTCTGCCGAGTCTTGGATAGGCTCCCCGTTCAACAAGGTCAGCCCTCCTTCGATATCACGAAGCAGCCTCACAAATTCTTCGGGCACAAGGCCGTTCTCTCCAGTCTTTGGATCCTCGGCAACCAACCAGCCATGACCATGTCGGTAGGAGACGTAGATCACCTGGCCCTCGGTGAGGGGTAGCTCATTCTCATGTTCGCGGGTGAAGTCAAAGAGTGCGACTGCCTTTCCATGCATTTCCTCGTCCGGACAACCGACAGCAAATTGATAATCCTTTGCATACCGGTCTCCATTGTCAGCTCCCTCGAAAGCGGCGTCGGGTGCATGGCCTTGCTGGGTATCATAATGAGAATACCGGCCTTCGTTCACCGGGTATGTAATATATTCTCCACCAGGTCCATCTTCCATTGCATCATCCCCATTAATGTAATATGTCTCGCTACCATCAGGGTTCATGCCGATAAACATGCCGCGGTCTGCGGCTTCGGCCATCCTTTGATCGGTGTAATTTAAACCGGTCCCAGTGGACTTATGCCGTTGACGCGCTGTGGTCACCACTGGGCTGTGCAAATCCTCATCTTCACTGTATGGAGGCCCGTCCCCGAATGACATAGCTGGCAATTGTTGATGGCCCTGCCCGTGCCCCGGGCCATGACTTTGGTTGGTTTCATTGCTCCAGGGACCAGACGCCCATGGGCCACGCGCGGTATCCCACGAATTCGGTACGTCCGAAAAACGGCGGTACTCACTTGCTGGCGTCGAACCCCCAGAGGGCAAGGGAGGGGGACCATAGTGCAGTGGATGAATCGGCGGGTAGGCAAAGTCTCGGACAAGAGCATACGGCAGACTGGAATGGAATATCGGGAACACGTGGGAGCCTGGGCGTGAGCGATGTTGCGACGCGACAGAGAGATTCGAGTAGGTAGATAACCGGTCCTTCGCACTTGGTGACGGTTTCACCGAGGCATCTGTCAGGATGGGGGGTAGGACGGTGAGATTGTCTGCAGAGAGTGTATTTGGCGAGTTCGGAGAGGCCATCTTGAACAGGCAGGAATTTCCCCCAAGAAGGATGATGGGAGTTCACGATTCGAGAGTCAACAAGGGATATGGGGAGGGTTCATTTAGCCGCGTCGCATGAATCCTAAATTGGCATTGCGATTGGGTGGCGCGCCGAAGATGATCCCACTTGTAATTCTCGCCCAAAATAGCCTGGTGGAATAGAACAAGACAAGAGAGCGGATGTATTAAATGTAATGCACAACACCACCACCTGGACGCAGATATCTCTCAACCACCACCGGACTGCCGACACACGAGGACCCCCGAGTGGGCAAGATCGAAGGAAAGGAAAAGGGCTCAAGGCGGGGGTAGGACAGTGCCGAGTCACGACAGGAGTTGGACCCCACGGTGATTGGAGTCCAGAAAGGGGATCGCAAATAGAGAAAATGCTTGAGGGGGAGGAGTCGGAACAGTGGTTGTTCCAGACAGTTGTCCCGCAGTTGGTCGAGGGCAAATGCTAAATATAGCCGAACCTGCAACATTGAAGTGTGTCAGATATCAATGGAACCCGAATGCAGCGCTTATATCGCCGAATAATCCAGTGAAACTTTGCATTTTTCCCGATCTAAACCAGTAATTATATCCATGGTTTTATTGCTTCTCATCGGTTTTCACTTGGTGTCCACATGTAATGCGATCGGAGATGGGGCTTACCTTTTTTAATCTTAATACCCCTTTGAGGGTCAATGATCAGCGCATATGCGGGGATTTTTGGTCGGCGGCTGCAGCAGGGGTAACCCAACACAACTATACAGCAATCAGATGCAGGTCACAAACAGAGCAAAAGAATCGATCGTACTCGATCGGTTTCGCAATGAATTGAAGCTTCGAGGGGCTTAGGTCATCGATCACGTGCTAGCGCGTTTCAGATCTAGGACTTAATCCATTTTAGGAAGTTCCTCGATGCTTTGGGAAATGTCCTTCTGCTTTCGACCCATCTCTCTGCTACATCAACTTGTATACTATATGGTCTTCCCAGATGGTGTGGTCCAGTTCTATTGATCTCATCATGTTCAACATCCGCGGTTGTTGATTCAACTTGATTGGCTATAGATTGTATCGGATCACAAAGGTCCGCCTGAGGTAACAAATGTGTAATACTTCAAAAAATAGGAAGTCAAAATTGACGGATTCAAGGTCGAATATTTAAAGGATTGATCTTACATACTACAGGCTGTCTATAGCTTATCAGTCAAGTAGATCAGAACTACTCGCCCTTCTTGCCCTCCTCCTCGGTATCAGGCATCCTCGGCTTGTGGCCTACGACGGGGCTCTCCTGTTCTGGCTACTGGGATGTCTCTGCAACTTGGCACGGGAACCCCGCCGAAGCAGAGCTGCTGAGCAGTTGATCCGTCAGGGTATTGGTATGCATTATCAATTCCGCCCGCATCAGCAGAGCCTGCGGAAGGGAAATTCCCTCAAGGCTCATCCCAGTGCCCGAAGTAGGAATAGCGGAAGTAGGAGAAACATTGTGAGTGACCATACAAAAGTTAGTACTTCTGTAATCGGACAGACAGGAATTGTTAGACTTATCGGGAGGACAGCTCCAGCTCGTGGTGATGGCGGCATTAGGGGTTTTGGTAACTATTGAAATCATATCAGGACTCAGTTTATTCCAGAAGTCTGCTCTCTGGATACTCGTTTTACCACTCTTTTGATTTTTTCCATTGTGCCGACGGCCACGATAACCCTTCCGGTCATGCTATAAACATCATATGTACTATAATTGTTACCTGGTTGGCGGGCAGAGCATCTAGAGGTCAGACTCTCCACAGCCGTATTCCGGACATAATCGGTCGATTTGGGGCAATCCATTATCATGAGCCTAGTGGAATGGCACCAATCACACGCCAGCTATATAAAAGTTAGTGAATATATTGTGAAATGGGCGGGTGGTGACATGGTGATTCAAGGATCGCTCTTTTCCATTCGCATGCAGCCGGTATCAGGAAATTAAAGAATCACTTACATTCTGGCGGCGGGGTGGTTCTCTTTCTCTATCATGATCGGCTATGACGAGAAAGGCGGAAGCGATTCTGTAGGTCTTTTTCTTTCCCAAAAAGAGAAGCAAGCGTGGAGACGGGGACGTGAAGGAGGGAGTGCAGTATTGATGGTAAAAGGTGGATTTGGAAAGTATTAACCAGTAAAACAACGGAAAAAACCGTAACTAATTTAGAAGTTCCTGTTCTTTGCATGGTACGTGAGCACACAATACTGAGTACTCTAGAAATGATGAACTGTAATTCGGAGTGTATAGATACGTACGTGACAGGACATAATAGAAAATGATGATGCAATTCAAGTGCCTCCGGAGCCTCTAATTGTCTTGCTACTGTTTCACTGCTCGATATACATGTGGGGGGATCTTTGAGAACTAATTAACAGAACTTTAAGCAGCCGTCGTTTGGCAGCTATCAACAGTCACCGTCCGTACCTCCACCTTAGTGACAGTGCGCCAGGCAGTCACCATACCGACAGTAACAGTAACAGTAGCGCTTGCAGGCTCCATTGTCACCCGCATGGTTGAGACGGCGGTAGAGGAACTTGTAGGCTCAATTTGAGCCGTCGACGTAGATGACGCAACTGCAGTAGTACCAGACAGCTGGACGGCGTACTCATTCGTCAGATCATCAAACTCCGACGTGATGGCTGCACTGTCAAGACTCTGCCCCTCGATATAATCATCCGTTGTCTGAACATCACTTGTCGCCTGTCCCACAATATCGATATCCATACACGTAGTATAAATCTCCTTCTTTCCATCCGGATACCCATCATCCACACTCGGACGAGTAGGCCAATCCCACACCCAGTAAAGGGTATACAGTTTCCCAGTCGGCGCTGTCGTCGGCAACTGCATATCCTGCTGACACCACAGATCAGCCCCCATCAGCGTATTAGCCTGATGGGGGTACTTCTCCTGGCGATATTCCGAGATATTGCCAGTATTGATCTGATAGCAGCGGCCGTCGTCGAAATTCTGCACAGAAAGAAGTGTTCCCCGCCCATCGCCTCCGGTGTTATTCCAGCTCCACACTCCGTGGACATCGTTGAGTGTTTCGCCGACTTTGGGCTCCGTTGTTCCGTAGATATAGACAGTGCCGCGGTTTGCCGGTTTGCCGGGTTGGTTCCAGGGCAAGGTGACATGGCCATTTTCTTGGTAGCGGAGGGCGAGGGCATCGCCTGCTTTGGCTTTTAGTCGAGGGCTACCGGTTGTTTGGGTTTGGTTCTGTTGGGTGTCTTTGCAAAGCTTTGTGCTGTCGTAGACTACTGTCACATTTGCTTGTGTGTTTGGAGGGATCAAGTAGGTCATTGTTAGATCGCTGAATCCTGCAGCGGTACGAAGGTAATTCCCCCGAGGGTATCCTGGATCCCCGGTGAATGTTCCATTGGATGCGATGACCCTGATCTCTTCTACCCAGGAATGTGCGCCAGCGCATGCGATGAGGGACAGCGTTGTGAGAGTTTGGAGGAACATTTTGGAAAGGAATGTATGGATGTCTTGCAGACTGCAGGGTACCGGCCAGCGGTGCAGTGTCGAGTATGGTGGAAGACGGTCAAGGTAAAGAATGTAAATGAAGCTATTTATCCAGATAAGAGATGGATGCTTTTATTTGCGGGGATTGAATGAAAAGAACAATGGAATAAAGCAAATCATTCACTTCAGACCAGACTGGTACCCAAGGGACAAAGAAATTCCACACAGTTTTGAAGTTTGTTTCAAGTGTTTTTCCAAGGCAACAGTCTACAGACTGGCCTCACTGGTCAATAAAGCATCGGGCATTTTGATCCTGGGAAATCAGTCCGAAATAAAGAAAGACATCGTTGCGGCTAATTGGAGCAAAGTAAAACAAACATTGTCTGCAGATGTCAGATGAAACAATCTAAATCTGTCACCCGCATTACAGCAGGCCAAGAGATATTGAAGAATTAGGTAACATGGAGATGGTTGGATATGGTTGGATAGATAACGCTGGAGACGGAGATATTTTTACGTGAGACAAATGGCAAGACTCCTGGCGCTTAGAGAGGTTGGACTGTATATGAGTCTGTAACCCTATCAATTGGCTGCAGATATAAGCGCTAGAATGGTAGCAATGACTAAGCAGATATATGTTTCACGTGATACACGCCACGTTTTGAGTCACCTGATATGCAAGTCAAACTTCTCAAAAGGACATTAGACATGAGACACGACACATCAGCACGGTTGCCCAAACCTTCCTATTCTTCAAGCTAGCGTTCCCGGTCAAGAAGCTTAGTTTATTGTGTCATCTTTCATTCCCTGAAACCGCCTTTTTAGCCTGTGGTGTGTAGCTGAAAATTTCCCACTAATGTTACCCACCCGCGCATCTAGTCGAGAGATCTGCATCAGCTCTGTCCCTCTTCCATCTTCCATCCTGTTTTTCACAATTTCGCCCTCAGTGGAGCTAAATTCCAGACTAAATTACCCGAGTTCTTATGTCTCCGTCAAACTCGGACTTGCCATCTTATCTTTAGTTTTTCCATGCTTGGCGAGCTCGGTCACCGAACCCATTCTGGTCGAGTGGAGAGAAACCGCCGGTCAGAGAGACGCATGATTTGACTGAAAGTTATCTGATTGAATCGGTGCTCCGTCCGCTCCACCGGGTGGATTCCAAGTGGTCGGCTAGAAACAGGGTCGACAAAGACTGCGGACCGGCGGTTCTCGGGATAGAGCGTTTTACTCCGTATACGGAGGCTGACGTGGACTGAATGAAGCGGTCACCAGTTCTTTTGGAATCAATATTTCAAGGCTGGGAATGAGTGGAACCCATACGGAATACACCGTACAGATCGGATTCTCGGGAACTGCGAAAACCCACAAATATCGGATTTCTGCAAATATTTTGCATTGCTGGCAGGGTTTTGGATTGGACACGGGATTACTGGACTGAATGCGTTGCTGCGTTGCAGGTGTGACCCTCCAACGCCCGTTCAAGATCCTTGTTGTGTTATGGCTTAGTGCTTATAACATTGAAGGCTAAACTATACTCAGTATACAATTGGGAATACATAATCACGAGCTGCAACCTTGGAGACATTTTTGACTATATCAAATGAGGGACCCAAAGGCCCAAGAACCCAGGGATATATAGGACAGTGAGGTCAAGAAGCTCTCCAGCTAACAAAGTCAAATTTACCCTAAACCTGCACTAGTTAAAATCGCACCGATCTTTGGTTTGCCGCCTGTTCTTAGTATTGTTGATTGTTGTCCTCGGATTTCATTGTTTAACACTTTCCACCAGGAACTTTCCCTGTTGGACAAATTATTTCCTCCTCTATCGGCCTTACAATTGCGCTATATTTTTATCTGTAGAATTGAAAGTTGGTTCAGTTCATTTTGTTGGCTGTCAAAAATTGGGTTCTCCACTGAGAGGCTTGGCGACCCTCTCCTTCGGGGATACTTAATTCCATCGTGGACCCGGGATCCCAATTATTTTGCAGCCTTCAGGGGGTCCCCGTGCTTCTTCCTATACCGCGAACTCCTGATCGTGAGGACCGTTGCGTTCTTGCTCCTTCTTCACCGTTCCCTTTCCTTTTTTGGTATGTTCCTCCCTCCCTCATCTGTTGTGCTATTACTGAGAAAAATAAAATAAAAGTTGGGACAGTGCAAGAACACCCCTTGAGTGCCATATGGGGCAGGAGATCTACAACTTCTAAGATCTCACACTGAATTGTCTTCGGATTTGACCGATTGAAAGGACTCAAACCACGGTGGTTATTCGCATAGGCATTGGTCCTTCCGGACCGTCATAAACACCGTCAACGCCTTCAACAGACGTCCACACCGCCCCCCTCAAATACAGTCAACATGGCTACCTCATTGATTTCCAAGAGATTGCGCTCCACGGAGGAGACTCAGGATGTTGCACCGAGTTGGATTCGCCGCCAGATTACCTCTGGTTTGCAATGCATCTCGCGTCGCGCCTGCATCCATCCCATCCACACCATTGTGGTCATCGCCCTGCTTGCTAGCACGACCTACGTCGGTCTCCTGGAGGGCAGCCTTTTGGATACCAAGAACCCTCGGAACGTTGCCGGTCAGGTGGACATTGATGCTTTGCTCCAGGGAAGTCGGAGTTTGCGATTAGGCGAGTCAACCTCGTGGAAGTGGCAAGCGGAGGACACCTGGGTGAACTCGGAGGTAAGCTTTTTCTTTCGCCTGAACGCCGGGACAAGAAACTAATGGGAATTCAACGTTAGGAGATCAATGAGCCCGCGGTAAACCACCTGGCCCTCTCGACCTTCATTTTCCCCGATTCCACCTCCCAGTCTGCCCCGTCCAGTGTCAATGTCCCATTTCCTTCCAATCTTTCTGCCTACTCGGTGCCCTACACCCCCAATCTCTTCACGGCCTTTTCCCACGACTCGGCTCTTGCCTACGCCGTTCCCTTTGAGCAGGTCTCGGACCTACTGAAGTCTGTTCAGGAGATTTCGGACCCTTCAGCGAATGATGCGGAGGCTGAGCCCAAGAAATGGATCATGAAAGCTGCTCGAGGTGCTGCGGGACCACGCACGGCCCTTATTTTGTGGTTCACCGATGCATGGAGCTCTTTTGTGGATCTCATCAAGCACGCGGAAACCATTGATATTGTCATCATGACCCTGGGATATATCTCCATGCACTTGAGCTTTTTGTCGCTCTTCTTCTCCATGCGACGCCTGGGTTCCAACTTCTGGCTCGGTACTACGGTCTTGATCTCTGGATCCTTTGCCTTCCTCTTCGGCCTGGTGGTGACCACCAAGCTCGGTGTGCAGATCAATCTCCTTTTGCTTTCTGAGGGTCTTCCCTTCTTGGTTGTGACCATTGGATTTGAGAAGCCGATCATGTTCACCCGGGCCGTTTTGAAGGCATCGGTGGATAGCCGTCGCCCTCGTTCGGGTGCCGCTCCCGGCCCGCTGTCCTCTAGCACCCCTGGTTCCATTCAAGACTCCATTGCCACTGCCATCAAGCAGCAAGGTTTCGAAATTATCCAGCACTACTGTATTGAGATTGGTCTTTTGGCTATAGGTGCCGCATCTGGTGTTCAGGGTGGTCTTCAGCAATTCTGCTTCCTGGCGGCTTGGATTCTGTTCTTTGACTGTGTGCTACTCTTTACCTTCTACACCACTATTCTGTGCATCAAGCTCGAGATCACTCGCATTCGTCGCCATGTCGCTCTGCGCAAGGCTCTTGAGGAGGATGGCATCACCCACAGCGTCGCTGAGAGTGTTGCCTCCAGCAGCGACTGGCCCAACGTGGGCTCGGATGACGGAGTCACCAGCATCTTTGGTCGTAAGATCAAATCGAGCAATGTTCGTCGGTTCAAAATCCTCATGGTTGGTGGTCTGATTTTGATCAATGTCGTTAACCTGTCGGCTATTCCTTTCCGCAACACTGGCAACGGTGCTTTGCTTTCGCGCCTTTCGAACTTCATGGCCCCTGCTCCCATCGACCCCTTCAAGGTCGCTGAGAACGGTCTGGATGCTATTTACGTTGCTGCCAAGAGCCAGAAGCAAGAGACACTGGTCACAATTCTTTCGCCCATCAAGTACAAACTCGAGTACCCCTCGGTCCACTATGCGGGTCAGGAATCTGGCGGCTTCGATATCGAGTATAGCGAGCAGTTCCTTGACTCCGTTGGTGGGAAGGTTCTCGAGAGTCTGCTCAAGAGCGTGGAGGACCCGTTCATTAGCAAGTGGATCATTGCTGCTCTAACTCTGAGCATCATTCTCAATGGATACCTGTTCAATGCTGCTCGCTGGAGTATCAAGGAGCCCGAGCCGGCTCCGGCTCCTCCCACTGAGCCTGCTCCCAAGGTGTACCCCAAGTTCGAGCCCAATGAGCAGGTGTCTACTCGCTCTGTTGAGGAATGTGAATTGATGCTCAAGGAGAAACGTGCTCCCCATCTCACTGATGACGAACTGATCGACCTGTCCCTACGTGGTAAGCTCCCCGGATACGCTCTGGAGAAGAGCATGGAGGATGAGAACTTGATGAGTCGCGTGGATGCTTTCACCCGTGCTGTCAAGATCCGCCGTGCTGTTGTCTCTCGCACCCCCGCCACCTCCGACATCTCAGGCTCCCTGGAGCACTCCAAGCTTCCGTACCAGCACTACAACTATGGTCTGGTCCACGGTGCCTGTTGTGAAAATGTCATTGGTTACCTTCCCCTTCCTCTTGGTGTTGCTGGTCCGATTAAGATCGATGGCCGAGACTATTTCATTCCCATGGCTACTACCGAAGGTGTCCTGGTCGCCAGTACTAGCCGTGGCTCCAAGGCTATCAACGCCGGTGGTGGTGCTGTGACTGTCCTGACCGGCGACGGTATGACTCGTGGTCCTTGTGTTAGCTTCCCGACCTTGGCTCGGGCTGCCGCCGCTAAGGTTTGGATTGACTCGGAGGAAGGTAAAAGCATCATCTTCTCAGCTTTCAACTCGACCAGTCGTTTTGCTCGCCTTCAGACTCTCAAGACCGCGCTTGCTGGTACCTACCTGTACATTCGTTTCAAAACCACCACCGGTGACGCCATGGGTATGAACATGATTTCCAAGGGCTGTGAAAAGGCCCTCGATGTCATGTCCAAGGAGTGCGGTTTCGATGATATGTCCATTATCTCTCTGTCTGGCAACTTCTGTACCGACAAGAAGGCCGCTGCTATCAACTGGACTGATGGCCGTGGTAAGTCGGTCGTGGCTGAGGCTATTATCCCTGGAGATGTTGTCAAGAGTGTTCTGAAGAGCGACGTCAGCGCTCTGGTCGAGCTGAATATCAGCAAGAATTTGATTGGAAGTGCTATGGCTGGTGCCCTGGGTGGTTTCAACGCCCACGCTTCCAACATTGTTGCTGCCATTTTCCTGGCTACTGGTCAAGATCCTGCCCAGGTGGTTGAGAGCAGCAGTTGTATCACGACGATGAAGAAGTAAGTAGTCTATTGTCTGAAATCTCGAGAAAAGATCAGTGCTAACGAAGAATTCAGCAACAACGGTAACCTCCAGATCGCGGTTTCGATGCCTTGTATTGAGGTGGGTACCATCGGTGGTGGTACTATCCTTGAGGCCCAAGGTGCCATGCTGGACTTGCTCGGCGTTCGTGGAGCCCACCCCACCAACCCCGGTGAGAACGCCCGCCAGCTCTCTCGTATTATCGCCGCCTCTGTCCTTGCCGGTGAGCTCAGTCTTTGTGCTGCGCTCGCCGCCGGACACCTTGTCAAGGCCCACATGGCCCACAACCGCAGTGCGGCGCCAACTCGGTCGTCGACCCCGGTGTCATCAGCCGTAGGAGCCGCCCGCGGCCTTTCCATGACCTCCAAATAAGCAACGACGCGCCCAGTCCTCTCTCTGGCCCGCGGAAATGAATCTCGTATATTTCCTCTTCATACCACCTTCGATACCATCCCTCTGATGCAGACTTTCGGCGAGCCCAGCTCGACCGCCACATCTGATGCATCTTATCTCTGTACATATCTGAGAGCCATTTACTTGACTCCGACGGAGATGAAAAAACGAAAGCTGGGATTACACCCGTGATGGTGCTCTCTGCTGGGAACTCAGTTGCTCGGCTATCGAGTCCTGAGGCCGACCCAAAAGCAACCGCTGCTAGCGGATACGACCTATATTGTTCTACATTTTGTACCTAAGTCCTTTCCATTTGGATAGACATGCTGGTCGTAAGACCCATGAAGCCAGTTATTTTTTTCGGTTTATCTATTTCTAGCCATAATTCGTAGCCTCTTAACTAAAATTGTTTCGCGTGAAGTACAACCATTGAATGTTTCCTCTCCCGAGATTTTCGGTAACAATTTATAGAGGTAGTAGGTACCTAGTAGATAGATGGAGTCTCCTGAATACTGCTAGGGTATTTCGTACACTACAGAAACTGAACTAAATGGCCCATGGGGCACTTGACACGAAATGTGTAGGCTGCTGATCTTCTACTACAAATAGCAGTTTCCTTCATTAGGTATAGCGTATCAAGTGACGACGAACTGGTCATTGCAGTATATTACCCGTATTTGTCTTGTATTATCGAGGTCTGGGGGGGGGCCACATGAGTCTAGATCCAACTCCTGAATGTTTATTAGGGCTTTCCCCCCTTATCGCACTAGCATCCCAATGCATACAACCATGCAGTATTCCAAGTTTAATTGTTCATTAGTTAGATATCTCGAAATCTGTATTTATCATTGTTCGTATGTTTGTCCTTCTACCATAGAACCAGTTCTGCAAGGATGGGTCGGGGCGCGGCCCCCCCCGGATGTTATATCAGCCCCTTGTGGCTTGTGAGAAGTTAATACTTGGCAGGGTTAGTGTATTGTTACTGTAAATTATATGTACTATTTTAATACTCCGTAAGGATGTTTTTTCTCTTCTGACCTGTTCGAATGTCCTGGCACGAGCTGGTTGAATAAAAAAAGTTTAAGTGAGAAATGTAAAGGAAAGATAAAGAAATCTTGATCTTTCAGATCTACTCCGTAGGTAAATAGTCTTTGGGGCTTGGCTTGCATAAGAATTATTCATGCCCTTGGCTTTTCCACTGTAAGGATAGGCGGGTCCCCCGTAAGGGAACCTCCGGAGTCAACCAAACAGAAGTTCTACTCCCCTTTCATAATTTTATTCCCCCAACACTCCTTTAGACTCGGGCTTTCAGCTTTCTCACATTCGTTGACCTTCCAACCTGGCTCAAACCCCCCGCCTCCCTTCGTTTTAAACTTTCAGATCCGTGGAGGAGATAAGCCGGGTTCTGTAGTCGTGCGGTTCTGTGTGGTTGACGACGTTGGATGTGTCTGACTTCACGAGGACTCCCCCATACTCCCTTGAGAAAGTGACAGTAATCTTCGATTCGATACGTGTTGGGGGAGTCGACATTCCCTTGCGACCTTGATATGAATGGAAATTCAGGAGCCATGTCGCCTGTCTCTGTCGATGGCAGCGACTGGTCCGGCATCAATCAATACCAGAAGTCGGATGCGCCCTTCTCGCCAACCTTCCCTTCTCGTGGCAACCTAGCCACACCACCCACCTCTGGCGTCTCAAGCATTCCGCTAAGTCCCAGTAGCACCGGTCTCCCACTGCCGGGCAGCCGGCCGGGCAGCGCAAACCCATCTCCGCCTAGCTCCGTCGGTGGTGCAAGATCCAGCAGTGGAACACTTGGCGATGAGCCGCGCGATGGCGGTCGACGCCGCCGACAGATGGAAGAAATACTAAACCAGCATTATGTGACACTCAAACGGTTTCTTAGCGCCACCTATCGCGAAGACCGAATCAACGGTCGATCCAACAAAGCCCGCGATAAGCTCCTGCGCCTTTCACCGACCCAGTTTCACGAACTGAGTACTGATGTTTACGATGAACTTATTCGTCGCCAACAAACCACACCTGCTCCAGGCCGCCCGCCCCGTCCCGACGCACCTGCCTTCCTCCCTCCGCGAAGCACCTTCCACGAGAAACGGAATCACGCCCGCCAGAAGCTTGCGTCGCTTCAGCATACGCGCTTTCGCGATCTTGCGACCGATGTCTTCTGTGAGTTGGAGCGCCGCTTCCCACACTTCACGGGTCGTCGTCCTTCCCCTGGCCTGCCCCCGGATCCTCGTCGCTCGCAGTCTCGTGGTCCCCCGAGTCGCATGGGTCGGGGATATCCGTCTGGTGGCCCGGCTAGCCCATACGGGCCACCTCGGCAGGCTTCCCTTGGAGGTCCACCGCAAGGGATGAATGGAGAGGGTCCTTTTCCTCGGTCGTTCCAGAGTAACACTATGGTTCCGAATAAGAGTACGATGGTTGAGGATAGCGATGATATGGGGCCAGATGACGATGATGATGCTCGGAGTGATGCGTTCGCGTTGGATGCCGTCTTGAGCAGACGGGCTACTACTACGACTCTCGGTGAAGGGGAGCGAAAATTATTGGTGGATAGTCAAGCCCAGGTCTCGGCATTGCAAGAGAAAGTGGAAAAGCTGGAAGAATTGGTCCGCTGCAAGGATGAGGAATTGTCTCGATCACAAGATTCAGATCAATCCGCGGTATGTCTTCACTGTGTTCTGTGCTACTGAACCCAATCTAACTTCTTCTACAGGTCAGTCTTAGTGAACGTCAGGAATGGGATGATCTTCGCCAAGATCTGGAGAGCAAGGTATCGCAGGCCGAGGATCTCAACAACTCACTCCAGCTTGAGCTTGATCGGGTTCGGGCAGAGCATGAAAGTGTGGAGCGAGATCTTCGTCATCAGCTTGACGAAGTCGCTCGGGAGTCTGGAGACTCAGATTTGGTTGCTCGATACGCTGAATTGGAAACCAAGCACCAGAGCCTTCAGTCCGAGCTGCAACAGCAGCAGGAGCTTACTACCGAGGTTCGGCGTGAGACATCTGAATTCCTCATGGAGATGAAGACTCTTACAGCCCAAAGTCATGCAAATTGGGAACAGGAGGAGCGGATGTCCATTGATGTCCAGAGACTAGAAAATGAAGTCAAAGAGTGGAAACATCGCTATGCGAAGGCCAAAGCGCAACAGGGTCATCTCCGCACTTCATCTGGTGGTCTCTCGGATATTCGAACTGATGCTAGCGCTGTTGTCAAGGAGCATGAGCTGGTGCAGCCCAATGGTGTGGTCAAAGATATCCACGTTACCAAGTTCCAGATGTCGATTGACGAGCTGCTTCGATCTGCACGCTTTGAGGATGCCCAAGTGGTGTCCGACCAAGTCAAGGCTGTTATCGTTGCTGTTCGTTGCATGATTCAGGACGTAGACCAGGCACCTCTCCCAGTTGATGGTTCAGCCAATTTGCGCACCAAGGCTAAGACCAGAGTGTCTGCTACTGCAAACAACATGATTACTGCCGCTCGTAACTTCACCGGCTCCAGTGGTCTCTCTCCTGTTTCCTTGCTTGATGCCGCCGCCTCGCATCTTTCCACCGCCGTCGTGGAGTTGATTCGAGTGGTTAAAATCCAGGCCTCGCCAGCGGATGAGTTGGAAGATGTCGACGTGGACCTATCTCAAGAGAAGTACCCAGACTACTTTGGCACGACTGCCAGTCAAAGGCCTTACAGCAACCACTCAGAATACAGTGCTATTAGCCCCCCCGACCAAGACCACCCCGCCATGCAGAATGGTTACACCAACGGGTTCTCATACGCGCCACAAGAAGACCACGAGCTCCAAGAGCTGAAGCTTTATGTTGAAGACCAAACTGATGGCATGGTCCAGTCCATCCAGGCTCTGGTTGCTAGCATCCGGGCTGAGCAGGAGCTGAGCAGCGTTGAGATTCACGTCTCTGCAATTGGCGACGTGGTCACCAACGTGGTATCTGCTACTGAGAATTTGATTCACGATCGCAGCGGCGACATTGCCCTACGCGAGCAATCCGAACCGGCTATTAAATCCCTTGACGAATGCCGCGGCCGGCTTATGAATACTGTCGCCGAAGGGCACAATGCTACTACTCCCGAGCAAGTGCGCGAGGTCACTAACCAGCTACCTCCTCTTGCATTTGAGATTGCTCGACAGACCAAGGAGCTTGTACAGCGTCTGGATTCCCTGACGCATGGAGACGACGATGACTTCCGGTGATGATGATTTGATTTGATTGACCTGATTTGACTTTTGATTTTTTTTCTCAACACGACACACTGTGTTTGCATATTTCAGCAATGCCCAAAATACTGCTTTCCCTTCCATTCCACTCAATACTTTCACCAGCTTTTCACCTTTCACCTTTCACCTTTTCTCTGGCTTTTAAGCGACTATCATCTGTGGCAACCTAGCCGACAATGTCGAAATGATGTCCTGGTACGCGTGGCATTCATGCTTTTTTGTTCTCCCTTTCTCCTGTTTATGTGGATCATATTCATATTCGTGTACTTCTATTATGATCTCCGGGTCTGTTACATTTTTTTCTCCCCTTTTCCCAAGGTTACTTTATTCTGTTGATTCAGATTCTCCTGCACGGCTCCGGATAGAGGCCCCGATTTTGCATTCGTATGCACATGAATTCAATCGCAGATTTTACCACCCCTTCACCACCCCTTCATTTCAATCGGGATTGTACTCCGTATATAAACAGTAAATAAACATTCAGCCTCAGGCAGAAACTAGTTATGGATTCAGTCTAGCTTCCCCGGAAGGAACTACCCGGGATTATGTAATCGTCGAGTCCCGGCAGCTCCTCGACCTCAAAGCTGCTTTTTTCCCCTATAGCTCACTCTTCATCATCTCCATCATCTTGTATTTCTAGAAACTGTAAGTATTACTCTTCCCAAGTGGACAATCAAGACCAATTGGCTCTATGATTCCCCACGTTTCCTATATCCCAGGCTTGTGACTTGGAAAAGGAGTTACGTGAACACCTGGATCCCTCTGATCACAAGAAATGCGCAATTAGTCTCTCCCGTGTCCTGCAGCAGCTAACCTATTTGTAGTTCGGCACCCAAGTTGTCCCGCTCCGCTTCTGCCCCTCACCATGTTTTGCCGCCTCAAGTCAACCCCACCCTCGCTCTTCTCTTCTCTGAATTGCTCTTTCCACCCTTCCACCCGATCTTTCTCATCCTCATCCGCCATTATGTCTAACACCAAGGCTTTCTTCGACGTTCAGTACGCCCCCGTTGGCTCCTCCACCCGTAAGTTGTTCTTTCCTTTTCCCTTGGAGGGGCAATTCTGAAATCTGCCCCTCCACATTTTTTGTTCCATTGAACGCCCCGTCCTTTTTTTTTTGCGGAGAAATGGGCTCCATTCTGTTTGAATTTAATGCTGACTTGTTATCCAGCCAAGATTGGCCGTATCAACTTCAACCTCTACGAGGCTGATGTGCCCAAGACTGCCAAGAACTTCCGTGAGCTTTGCAAGCTTCCCCAGGGTCAGGGTTACAAGGGCTCTTCCTTCCACCGTGTTATCCCTCAGTTCATGCTCCAGGGTGGTGACTTCACCCGCGGTAACGTTAGTTACTCCTTCCCTCCTGTCTGGGAGGTTTGGTATGCCAATTGAAATTTGTCTAACCTACTCCGAAACAGGGCACTGGTGGCCGCTCCATCTACGGTGAGAAGTTCCCCGATGAGAACTTCAAGTACAAGCACACCCGCCCCGGTCTGCTCTCCATGGCCAACGCTGGCCCCAACACGTAAGTCGTTTGACGACGCCAGCTCTACTGCTGCGATCAGATCCGCCGATCACTTGGTATCCGGTTTCTAACCTTTCATTTTCTATAGCAACGGCTCCCAGTTCTTCATCACTACCGTTGTGACCTCTTGGCTCGATGGCAAGCACGTCGTCTTCGGCGAGGTTGCCGACGAGGAGTCCATGCAGGTTGTCAAGGAGATCGAGTCCCTTGGCTCTTCCTCCGGCTCCCTCCGCTCCGCTGTCAAGCCCACTATCGTCGAATGTGGTGAGCTCTAAATTATTGAGCCTATTTGATCTGGTTTAGGCGGCAATGTCTCTTTTGAGCGAACGTCTCCTGGACAGGAAATGTGCAGTAAAACTAGCGAGTCTTTTTTCTAATAGTCCTTCTTGCGTGATGTAATCTAGACAGTGTATCTAGCTAGTCATGTATATTTCTTGTCCAGGAGACTCAAAAATTATTTGTTTACTACGACAATTGGATTGGATTTAAGTGGGGCCACGTGGTTGTCCGCATGTAACCGCATTAGAACGTCAATCTAATCCTATAAAACTTTATCTTTTCGACATAAGGTTGTTCATGCCATTTCCGATATAGTGAGCCGGTAGCAACAACAGAAAAACCAAATGCTAACCATAAACTAACCTAGTACCTACCGCATACTACATCATTCATCTCCTCCCACCATAGCTAGCTTCTAGAATCAAGACGATATTGCAGCATAACACAGTAGCTCAACAATCAAAAATGAAAATTGTAGTTTCAATAATCTAATATTGGCTCTTTTCCCGTCGTGTTTGTCTATAAATGATGACTTGCGCAGTGCGTAATAATGTATCAATATTGGATCAATGTCAGCCTCATCTTACTTGAAGTTACTTTCATACTTCTATATCACTCCTATTTTCTCTTTTCTATCTCTCTCTCCTCCCCTCTGAAGATTCGTTTGTTAGAGTGGATTTACGACCTCTTCTATAATATGACAAAAGAGCACCGGTTTCCTTTTCTTTGTCAACGACTTCCTTTCTATCACAACCCTAGCTAGAGACACTATTTCGCTTTTCTCCTCGGCACCAGCCCCTCCATGGATGGACCAACCCTGAAGCTTCTTTTGAATCTATTGGTCTCGTCACACCTCACTCCCAGATTCAACACCTTTCGTCTCAGGGAAACCACCCACACAATCAGGTGCTCTCTTTTGAATGAATCTTCACATCATCGCCACATATGCGGTGCTCGATTGTTGGTCCATGAAATATGACAAGCCAAATACACCTACAAGGCCTCCGATGGTGCAACAGTTCACGTTGAACTGGATGAGCTGAAGCAATATGGCCTAGAAGACTTATAAACTGGACCAATTTCGCTGAAAACCACTGAGTTCGATCGCGCAGCCAAATTGCGTCCGTCTCGAGTCAAGAATAGCAAGCTGGTTGACTGACCACCAGCCACGCTGGAACCAGAACACATCCACATGTTAATCTGCTGAAACAAAAAATTGCAGCAGTCATTATTCACTCTACTTCGACTCAGACAGATACTCAACATTGAATCGGTTTATGAATGGATGGCCGATACATACTCATAGGTTGATCAATATGCTCCAAGGGTTTATCAGTATCTAATCCATGTCCGGCGCACGGTATCTTGGGACCATGATACAAAAGAAAACCCATCAACATTATGCTTTATGAGTCAGTTTCATTTTGACCTTTTTTGGGGGGGATTTCATCTGCGGAGATGCAGTACATCGAGTCTTCTGAGGCAGTCAACCTGATTCTACCGTTCCGCACTCATGAGAAGTACCCACCTGTGCACCAGCTCTCGGTGCACTTGGAAAACCAGCATATGGTCTATTTAACCGAAGCGCTCGATACGCTCGATATTCAAAATTCCATGACCAATGCGCAGAGCTAACTTATGGCATACCTCAAGGTCAATGGGGAGAGGATATGTACAGGGCTCCCAGGTATTCTCTATGAGCAGGTTCCCGAGCGATATGTCTGGACCAAAGGTGCTACCACTTTCAATAAAAGTTATTATAGAACGAGTATGAGTATTATAATATATGATCATCAATGCTATATGAAGGAACTAAGCCTAACCGCGAGATACTTTGATATATCTCTGATTTTGAAGACTATAATCGTCAATTCGTTGACTTTCAGTCTGCAGTTTGTATGTAGGATAAAAAGGGCTTGTCAACGAGAATTTAAGTGGCCGTGCTTGAGAGGATTGATATCAAGGTCTTTTCTCGACAGCAGAGGTATGTATCCCCCGGGTCAGATCATGTGCTATATAGTCCCAAAAACTTTATTATTTTTTTGTTTTTGTTTTTATTAATTTGCAATTACAAAGGAGTGGTGTAGAAAAAGAGGAATAGCCCTTGTGCGGGATGCAATGATAATTTACGTGATGATCTCGTTAGGCGATGATCGACGGTTTACCGATCGCGGGGTCGTTGACCATGTAGTCACCAGACCATATAAGGCTTCTAGTCTTTGCACTTTTCCTCTCTATGAAGTCCGTAGAGTTCAGGCTCTTATGGGATTTAATCGGTAATGCCGTGCGTTTCTGGATCATTTCACTCGACATGGCCACTTGCCGGTACGCATTCGGCGATGTATCTGGTGTGGACCCACTGTGACGCCTAACAGAAGTGAGACGCGAACTAGTGGGCCTAGCGCAGTGCGGTGGCTGGCTGAAGAACCTACACCGACGTACACTCGCACTGATCTTAACTCCTGCCTTTATAGACACGGAATCCCATTTCATCTGGGTGTCAGAAACGCAATCTCTCAAAGGAAACAGAGCGCAAACTTCATTAACTTCACAATGATTATCTATACTGTATGTTATTCATCGCTACAGACTCAGTCAGGGCCCCTCTTTCTAAAGAGTTGGATTCCAAACTTGGATTGAGCTGCATGATATAGGCCGAGTCCTGGTGGATTATACTTTTCTTTCAATGTAGAGCTTAGATCGGATTCTATATAGAACATCTTCATGCGTCTCTAGAATGTCTTATTTCTTGATATAGGCCCAGTGAGACTCGAAAACATTTGATAAATATATTAGCGGATTAACTCTAACGCTCAGCAAAAGCGAAATTATAGAATACAAACGAATATGAAACGTCATTTCAACGAATATATTGAATGGTCGAGAACAGGAGTGTCTATATCTGATTCAAAAATGTCCACCTCTCTCTTTTCTTCTCATCGCCATCCACCAATTCATCCACTCATTACCTGGGACTATTTTCATCAATTTACCAGCCAGAACTTTCTTGGTTCCCTGACCCTCTCCCAAAGCCGAACCCAGAAGCTCATCACTTCTAAAAAAAGGTTTCACCTATTTCCTGGGGGGAGATAATTCCCTCAATATCGCCGGTGGTTCTGATTGACAGCCATTGTGAGATGTGTTGATCATCCTCAAATGAAGCGATTTGTAGGATGCACATACCTTTACCTTCGACCAAATCAGTCTTCTGTCCGGAATCCTCGGTCTCTAATTCATTCTCGGGGAAACGTTACATATCCAACCACTTGAGTGGATAAACTTAATGGGAAAAAATATCCGAGGCGCAATTCCAATGGATCTCATGGTGTGCATGCCACTCATTTCGAGATGCGGGCAAGTAAGTTGAAAATTAAGAAAGTAGAATAGACATGCCATTGTGAAGTCAAAAACCAAACACGACCTGGACTAACTGATCATCGCTTGGATCCGTCGCAATACTCGACACACATTTTCCAATTTATGAATAGACAATATCCTATTTTGACATGGTGTCACCAACTTCAGCAAGATGTTCAGCTCCTTGATAAAACTTAGGCAGAGGCGCTAATTTCTGGCGGAGAATCCACACCCGGAAATGCCAGGCACAGTTCCGAATTTGGTACGCAGCATGCTTCCTCGTAGATACGGAGAATACCTGATCCAACTCCTCCAAGGTAAGAGCTGAGGAGAATGTATGATTAGTAACACCGTACTCTGACCCATACTAAAAACTCACCTTTTGTCTCCGGAACAAAAAGCAAAACCAGGAACCAGCCAATGACACACCAGCCAGCATACCATCCAAAGGCACCTTGCGGCTTAAATGATGTCAAAAGATGTGGCCAGGTAAAGGATAAAATAAAGTTGAAGCACCAAGTTGTAGCAGTGGCCCATGACATGCCCACTTCTCGGACGTGCAGAGGGAATGCCTCGGCGGAGTAGGTAAACGGAACAGGTCCTTCACCCGGCGAATAAAAGACCTCAAACAAATACATGCCCGTGGTCACCATAGCAATCCGCTTGTGGCCATCATTGGCATCGATCCAAAACGAGAAGCCCGCCCGGAGGAGGAAGATGGCTAGGAAGGGGAACGTGAAGAGCAGAAGATTGCGGCGACCCCAGGTATCGATAGTAAACACGGCTGGCAAAGCGAAAACCCAGTTGAGAATGCCCGTGCCCATGGATGCAAGCAATGCAGACGAGGTACTGTAGCCGGAATCTACAAAGATGGTCGTGGAATAGTAGGCGATCACGTTGACGCCGCAGAACTGCTGCATAAACATGACAATCCAGCTAGCCAGCGTGGCCCGACGGTTCCGCGGTACAGTAAAAAGCTCCAAGAACATCGAGAAAAAGTTCTTTCCCTTGTTGATCTCGCGCTCGAGTTCCACGCCCACATATGCATAGTACAGATCCCGTGCTGCCTGCAGCTCTGTAGGACGAAGAATCTTGAAATTCACATAGGCCTTGTGGATCTTGCCGTGCTGAATGAGCCATCTGGGCGACTCAGGACAGACATAGACCTGAGCACAGACAATCAAGGGAAGGACCACGGTAGATCCCAGCATAAGACGCCAGTTGAGGTCATTCCCGACACTCATGAAGGCAACGCCCATGATATTACCCAGCATGATACCGAATGCAGTCCACATCTGCCACATCATCACTAATGCGCCTCGAATAGGAGCCGGCGAGCATTCGGCTGCATAGATAGGCACCGTGGTGGATTTCGAGCCAATTCCTAATCCGAGCACAAAACGCGCAATGAATAAGTTTACCCATGAGTTGGCGACGCCTTCCCAGATTGAGGCGATAGCTGCGATGAGGCAGAAGATGAAGATTGTACCGCGACGCGCGAGGTATCGGTTGAGGGGCTCGGTGAGCCAGCAGCCGAGAATAGCACAGGCTAGGTATGGGGCTCCGACGACAAGACCGGTAAGATTATCGCTGTTTTCTATTCCAAATCGCTATTATGTGTCAACCTTTCATCTCTCTGTATGTGGTTTCTATTACCTTCAGGTAAAAAGCCTGGGCACCATTGTTGACTGTCTCATCCATTCCCTGCACCGCAGCAGCTAGGGAGCACATAACTAAAGTGGGTTAGCGAGCTTCAAGTGATATTATTCACAACGTACTTGCGAGCCAGTATAGCTGCCATGGTTGATGCCACTTGTGCGTATGTTCTCGAATGAGGGCTTCCCTTTCTCCCTCGTCGAGATCGCTCAACTGTGTTGCCGTTTCAGGACTTTGTGAAGCCAAGGCCCCTTTCTTAAAGGTTTCGAGATCATCCAGCAGATCGAATTTTATGCAGAATTCTTCGACATCTTTGAATAATTGCTCACGAGGGATACCTGCCAAAGGGTTTTGGAAGACCGCATTGAGGTTATTTGGCCCACGACCTTCCAAGTCCTGGTGTCCAAGCCTCTTCTCCGTGTGTTCATAAGAGATGTGATCATCAGTCTTATCACTTGACCCCTCCACAGGATCTATTATCTCACCGTCCTTCATAATAGATAAATATCAAACAGTAAATTATTTAGACAACGCTTGTAAAGTCTTGGAATGAAGTGAAAGTCCTAATGTGGCAAAGGGCTGGGGAAAGTAAACCATTTTATTTCCTCATAATTACGATAAAGTCCCGATATTGCAAAGAGTCAAAGCAAGTCAAACATCATCTTTCTCCTATTTCCCCCTATAGTGTTACGGCAAGGACCGCAAATGGCAAAGGAGTCGCGTCAGGTCTTAGACCCATGGGCCAAGCCATCATCAGTACTCAATTGGTTTCTCTTTCCTATACTTTTCCAAGTCACAAAACTCAGCCCCAGCCGAAAGAACCGAGATTCCATCGAAGATATGAGGACGTGCCCTTGTCATAAGGCCCAATGCGGGGAAAATCCCCATGGGGATGGACCACCACGCAGATGAGAACCAGTAATATGAAAGAATGCATATTACAATAATCCCATGCCAGTCAGCGATAAGCACTCCAGAAATAAAAAGCATCCAAGAAATGATCAACGGGAAGAACCTATCAACCACAGCAGCCGGAATATCTTGCGTCATTCGACTGCAAGACAGTCAACATCTTGACTCGATTAACAGAGACTTGCTTTTACTCTCCAAGAATTCTCGCGCCACTTACGACTGTCCAAGCCCTGTGAGCTACGGTGGCTTACGGTACCGACTCGCCGTGACGCCTCCCGCTAATTTGCGGGGCTACCCCAGAGGCTAATGTAACCCCGCCATTCCGTGAAAGCCGGGGTGGATTCGATGGCAAATAGGGATTAATTTACATTTGTTTGAGTTTCTGATTTAACGTGGAATCTCACGCCAAGATGTGATTGAGCGCGGCATTTCACCGTTTTGGTGAAGAGGCCCTTGCTTAACCGATGACACTCGCAGGAGTCAGCCTTCGGATCCCGGGAAAATCCACTCCAGCTCTATTACTAGGCTACTTGTCAGTTCTTTGTGGTCCTTGACTGGTCAATTCTGGAAAGATGGGTCATCTCTTTAGCTGACTGTATATCGAAGTACCCACTTAGAGTAACTTCCTAGAGCTCTACCGAGATAGATACCTAGTAGAGTACTCTAGAAAATCAAATATCCAACACAGAGCCTCTCCGTACCACGTATAACAATGAGCACAAACGATCAATCCACCACACAATTTTGTATAAGACCTGGATCAAAATTGTCGTGTTTTAGTATCAACACCAATGATATCACAAACAACACAAAAGCAAATCGTGTATTGTCTCATTCCTGCAGTTGCCAATGAACATAAAGAGCCTTTTAGACATTTATCATTAAGTCTGAATCAAAGCACTAGTCTTAAGATCATATCAGACCGACAGGGTAAACTAGAGGTCTGCTTATTTGAAATTGAACCTCCTCAAGTATAACCTCATAGCTAAATGTTAATATCAGTAACTGTTGGAATCGCCTTTAGAGAGAAATGCCGATATGCATGACTTTGTTTGCTATTTGCAGACAATAATTGCAGCAAAGTCCCGAAAATACGGCTAAGTACAAAGGAAGATCGCTAAACCTGTGTATACAATCGAAGCTTCATGTTTGTCTTAATTGATAGTCTCGTGGTTCTTTGTTTCACGCAATATAAGAATTTCCACCTATAATCATACCTGCTCAACTTCCCATTTCTTCTTGATTATCAGAACGGCAAAACTGGCACTATGAATTGGACAATCCCCATCTTTGTCTTTTTGACTACCAATCTCTGGAGTCTCTATGGGGGAATCCCCTATACAACTGTCCAGCCGTCTGGCTCTTTTCTAGATCGCACGATTGGATCTTTTCAATTGGCCAGTACCATATTCACCCTAGGCCAGACAAGGGAGCACTTGATGATTCAGACTATGGAGGACGGAAATGGAAACAATGTTCGTCTCACAATGCCTGTTTTGCAGTATCTGGATCCTCCGGTACAGTCCGATCAGCCTCCGGTGACCAAGGCTGATGCCGTCGAGAACCAAATTGAGCTTCTCATCAACTGGCTAAGATCTATCTCATCACAGACGTCGATTCCAAACACTCAAGTCCCCAACAAGACTCCTATACCTTCCATCTCTACAGGAGAGTACGATTTCCTCGCATTTGCGCTGGTCTTCTTTGGCATTATCGTTCTGCAAACAATCGCCCTTGCGGATTTCACCCGACCTCAGCAAGACCTGCAATTCGAAATTAGAGAAAACATCATTAAAAGCCGGAAGGAATTCCATGGTTTCATGACAAATACATTCCCCAATATAGTCGGTGTCATTCGAGGGGTTTCAGCAGAAGTTCAACGAGGCGCGCAAGAAGAGCTCCTATATATACACCGAAGCATCCAAAATCTCCAAGACATCCCACATGCTTTCTCCCAGCTTTCTTACGACCTCCACGAAGGTATTCAAGCGCAGTTCACCGAAATTTGCACAACTCTGGAAAAAGGTATCCAGAAAGGATTTGATGAAGTGACCACCGACCTGATCAAACTCCAGACCGAATTCAGACAAACCTGGGCACAAGAAAGGGCAACATCCGTTCCTTATGAGAACATGCCTGGTGCTGGCGAAAGCTCCGAACTGGATGTATTCTGGAGAGAGATCTGGACGGAGATCAATAATGATTTCAAACTCACTGTGGAGGGGTTCAATGTGAATCTGTACAAGTTGTATGATATCGTCAATGCTTTCCAGGATCAGTTTCAGAATCTTCCGACTATGATGGCTGTTGAATTGACGAGGGCTTTCAATGCGGAGATCAATAAATATGAGATTGATGTCAAGGTTGAGAATGCGGGCTCTGCTGCTAGTGCTGAGCGGTTGGCGTCGCGGTCGAATGGGTCGGAGGATGGCCAAGAGAATCAGACGTTTTCGGGTCGAGTGGAAGAGGTTGAGACGGGGGAGGAGGAGCAGGAGAGCTCTACACCCCAGGGATCCTCGTCAGTTGGACCGGAGTATGAGCATTCGGAATTTGTAGCGACGAATGAAGGGCAAGCGGGTTCGCAGGTCGATGGAGCGGAGGAGAACTAGGTTGTATTCGATCAATACAGGGTCGGAGATTGTCGAGATTCGGACGGTGAATGAGCTGAGCATGTTCTTCTGGTTTGTTTTTTTGATTGTCATCGTATCGGAAACTTGAGAAAAGCAGACGGGTATCTTGATTATTATTCTATTTCCATCACAATATAGCTACAATCGAAGCCATAACTCCACGGCATCAAGTTTCGACGAGATATTTCCGACAAGCATTCTTTAACATGTCAATGCGTCTTTGGGTATGAATAAAGACCTCACGGTACATATCAAGGCTCTGCTGCACGACTTCCTGCTTGGTCTTCGTGCCCGCACAAATCTCAAGCATCCTTAACTCCATTTCCTTACGCAGGAATGGCTTGCTAAGCGAGATACTATTTGGAAGACCTGCAACAACATTATCGTATCCCTCAACAAGAGCGATGCCCAAGCGAGTCGGAATGAGTTCTTCAACCGAAGTGCGGCCACTTCCTCGCTTGTGCGTGACGACGTATTCACGCTCTTTAATCTTAGCAATGTGCTCTGCCATGGTTGCGTCGGTGCCTATGCCATTCGCATCCATCAGACCAATCAGTTCTGGTTCTGTAAGATAGTTTGGTGCGGTAGTCTTGCCCTCGAACATGTTCGCTTCAGTGGGCACGAACTTTTCTCCTCGTTCAAATTTGGGTAGCTGTTGGCTGCTTTCCCATTTGTCATAGACGTAGACATCGAGATAGTTTCTCTCCAGTACGAGCAGACCATTGGCGTGGAAGTTTTCTTCGCCGTAGAGGATTTCAATATCTGTGCTTTGGCCTTTGGCGTCGTCGGAACAACAAGCGAGGAACCGCCGGGTCACAAATTCGTACACTTTTTTCTCATTGACATTGAGCTGGCTCGGTGAGACCCAGCTGACTGGATGGATAGGTGGATGGGCCTTGTCGTTATGACGACCGGATCGAGGTGTTCTGAATTTGCCGTCAATGAGACTGTAATATTGTTAGCTTTGTTTAACAAGGATATCCTGAAGCAACGTACTCTCGAGCATATTGACCCCATTCAGTGTCCGGGAACTGTTTTTCAACCAATTTCTTCAGGTCAATGGCCTTGTCGAATTGATCTGTTTCCGTTCTGGGGTAGCTGATAAATCCTTTTGTATAAAGGGCTTCGGCCACTTTCATGATGGTTTGACCGTCCATGCGAAGAAATCGAGTGCCCATCATTTGAAGATCGACGGTCGTCAAGGGTAAAGGCCGCCACTTGCTTTTGGGCTTCTGGTTGACCTTTGTAACCGTGGCCTCTTTCGCGATCAAACAGCGCTCCAGCATCATCGTTACCACTGCACGATCAAATAGGTGAACCCGCTTCCAGAGGAAGTTGACTTTCTTTCCTTCACGCTGGAGCATGACTTTGATGCCCCAAAAGGTCTCGGGCTTGAAGTTCTTTACCCGTAGGTACCGATCGACTACGAATCCTAGCGTAGGAAACTGACACGATCCTGTGAAAATTTAGATGATATACTGTAATGGACAGGAAGAGACAAACCGTAGCTGATAATTTTCTCTTTTAAAACAGCTACCACAGCTTGAAGCTGAAGAGTCTGTAGCCGAGTGAACGCCGCACCGATGCGGAGGTCAAGCTCGATTCTGGCAGCCACAGCGTTGGCTTGATATTCATCAAGCTCTACCGGCTCTCGAGCAGCACGGAGGACATGACTATAATGCATTAGTGATGTGACACCAGCCTTGGAAGAACAAACACTTACGCTCTCTCGGTATTGCTAAACTTGGCTCTCTTGACCTCGATGCGCGCGTTTCCGCTTTTGGCTTGATTGCGGACTTCACTACCAATGTGCTCTCCCTCTCGATCACAATCAGTCCAGATGAACAGGGCTTGGCTGTACCTGGCTTGATTTCGAATGTTTTCTGCAATCGGTAGCTTGTCCTACGTGGAACGGTCAATATTGGAGTCTGGGCGTAATGCGGTGCTCTCCAACCTTATCAACATCTTCATTTACTGGAGCCTCAAATAATGCACCAGGCGGACAAGACGTCCAGCCCTTGTACTGGCGTTCAAAGTCAAGGCCCGTGAGGTGACCAATCACACTAGTCATGGTAACGGAGCAGTTCCCCCAGGGACCACCAAAATTGAACTCAAACTCATAATTCTTGACATAGTTATTGCCGCGGATTGAGTGCTGGATCGTGTTAATGGGTGAACTTGTTTATCGTGGAACACTTACAGTCTGAAAAGATCCTCCGGACAAGTGCGTGGCTACTGCACGCGCAATGGCCGGTTTCTCCGCCACACATAGAATTTTGCGCGCCATGAGGCATGCATTCAAATAAGATCATCCATGGGAAGTCGTGGTGGCATATCATCAGGAAGGAAAATGTTAAATTACTTTGGGACGTGAGGGTTCGCTGCCTAAGGCACACATTCTGCCTGAGGCAATAAGGACTATACCCGATGAGGTAATCTAAACATAAACCTCCCGATTCCTCTCTTATTTTCCCTCCGAAAACAATCCTCTGTTTGTTTCATGACTTGGAAAATGGCGAACCTTCCACTTCCTAAGGTTGAGTCCCTGGTGGACTGTACCTCTTTCCAGCTAACTGTACTCCCCTACCTTGCACAGCTGAAGTGGCTCCCCGCCAGCTTGCGCGAGGCGGGCCGAGATCTGGAGAGCTTGAAAGCTGTCTACCTTGCCACCAACCCCTTGGTTTCTGCCCTTGCGCTGGGAACAGTCCTTGCTGGAATTTTCTTTGTGGCTGCCGAGATCAACCGGAACTACTCTCAGGTTGATCGCTTCTGGAGCATCCTGCCTGCAGTGTACAATGTGCATTTCGCCGCCTGGGCACGTTTGGCCGGTCTTCGCACCGAGACTTTGGATACCATCGCTGTTATCAGCACTTTATGGAGTGTATGCGCATCATCACCAGAGTGCGTCTAAATGTGACATGTTGCTAACCAATTATCTTCATCAGGTTCGTTTGACCTACAACTATTGGCGCAAAGGAGGCTACTCGATTGGCTCGGAGGATTACCGCTGGCAGATTGTGCGCTCGAGGGTTAACAGCGCCTTTCTCTTTATGCTTTTCAACTTTGGCTTCATCGCCTTGGCTCAGTCTTTGCTGCTTTTGCTCATCACCACCCCGACCTACACCTTGCTCGTGGCCACCAGCCAAGGTCCTGAGACCTTCGGTCTCGCCGACCTGGCTTTCTCCCGCGCCGCCATCTTCTTCATTGCTATCGCATACTTCGCCGACCAGCAGCAGTGGAACTTCCAAACTGCCAAGCATGAGTACCTTAACAATGCGCGCATTCCCGAGCCCTTCAAGGACCAGTACGCCCCTGAGGATCTGGAGCGCGGCTTTGTCGTCAGTGGACTCTGGTCGTGGTCGCGACACCCCAACTTTGTCGCTGAGCAGGCTGTTTGGCTGACCATGTACCTTTGGTCCGCCTACCGCACTGAGAACTACCTTCAGTGGACTGGACTTGGTGTCCTTGGCTACCTTGCTATTTTCCAAGGTAGCACACGTCTGACTGAGGATATTAGTGCGAGCAAGTACCCCGAGTACAGTGAGTACCAGGCTCGCGTGGGCCGATTCCTTCCTCGCCCGTCTGTTGAGGCCAAGAAGACCAAGTCGAAGAAGGAGAAGGCTATTCCTGTTATTGAGCCTGTCGGTGAGGACACTGAGGAGAAGAAGATCAAATAAGTTGGAGTAATAATTGATATATGGCCTGGAGTTCCTATTTTTGATTTATTTATCGATCTAGACAGGCACATACCTGTTCAGTCACTTTTATTATTACTGTTTCTTATTATCGACAATATATGACAATCTGTTTTACTCTAATTTATACAAACTTTATCATGCGGAGAAAGCGGGACCCCTTTTGTCAGATGATTCAAGGTCAATACGAGGAACCACACAAGTTCCGAGCGGTTTCCAGTCTTATACATCAATTGCTGCTTGATTTGATCTCTGATCATACCCAATTTAAACAACAGTCCTACCAAGGTTAGTTCCGACTACTATACATACAAGGGTTCAGATTCATTAATCCTCCAGATACAATCTAAACAACTTGGAAACCATGCCAAATCCAAAGCAAAAGGACGTCCCATCTTGCTTCACAGACACCCACGGCATAGTCACATCAACCATGAATGACCTCCCAGGATACAAAATCAAAAGTGTCCTCGGCACAATCTACGGAATCACAGTGCGAACGCGGAACTGGGGTGCTGATTTAGGGGCGGTGGTCCGATCAGCCGTTGGTGGAGAGATTAGATTCTTCACGAATTTAATGTACACTTCTCGAGAGGAAGCTATGGAGCGATTAGTAGGAGAGTGTATGAGTCGAGGGGGCAATGCTATTATTGCGGTTAGATTTGATGTTGCTAGCTTCGGAGCTTGTTCGCAGATTTGTGCTTATGGGACTGCTTGTTTGGTTGAGAAGATTCCAGAGTGAAATGAGTATTTGGTCTATACCACCATGTGCATGGGGAAGTACTTTTATTTTGATGGGCTTGTTAAGCCTTCGGGACATGTATGGAGAGAAGAGGTATGAGATCAATTTACAATTACATATTCGCGACATGGTAGATGAAAGAGATTTATGAGATGTGGGAGTGATCGGAAGAGGACTGAGGGGGGAGTAAGGTGAAACCAAAAAGAAAAAATCAAGGAAAAAAGATGCAAGTCCATAAATACAAAATAAAGATCAAGACCGTGATATCACGCCCTGCGAGATTGACGAGACCTTCCCAAATGCAGTTCAATCGGTACAATAAAATCTACTTCGGGCCTATCAAAGGATAGGAGGAGTTTGGTCCTGGCCAGAACCCTCCTCGGGCAGAGTAGGCTCCGGCGGTGCGATGACCTGACCATCCCGACCATCGAAGTACTTAAGAATGTCGCCAGATTCAGCGAAAGGACGCGGTCCAAGAAGACGGATCATATCTTCACGGCCGAGGACCTCCTTGGACAGGAGCTCTTCAGCGACGAGACCAACTTCCTTCTTCTTCTCAGTCAGAAGGTCGTGGCACTGCTTGTAAGCCTCGTCGATGATGCGACGCACTTCGGAATCAATGTTGCGAGCGGTGTCCTCGGAGAAGGGCTTCTGGAATTGTTGCCCAGAGTCTTCCTCGTAGTGGACGTAGCCAATCTTCTTCGACATACCGAACTTGGTCACCATAGCGGTGGCCATGCGAGTAACCTTGTTGAAGTCGTCACTGGCACCGCTGGTCACGGTGTCAAAGTGAAGCTCCTCGCTGACACGACCACCGAGGGTCATGGCCATGCGGTCCATGAGCTGCTTAGTGGTCATTGTGTAGGTATCTCCATTAGCGGGAAGGTACTGGGCGTAACCAAGAGCGCCTGATCCACGAGGGATGATGGACACCTTGAGTAAAGGATCGGCCCACTCGAAGTACCAGCCACAGATGGCGTGACCGGCCTCGTGGTAGGCGACGGTGCGCTTCTCCCGGGGCGTTAGCACAAGAGACTTCTTCTCAAGACCACCAATGACACGCTCGATAGCCTGTTCAAAGTGCTTAATAACGACCTTATCAGCGTTTTCGCGAGCAGCTATTGACAATGTTAGCATATTCCAAAAATAACCTAAACAGGGGTGGCTTCACGTACCAACAAGGGCGGCCTCGTTAACGCAGTTCGCGATATCCGCACCGGCGAAGCCAGGGGTAAGAGCAGCGAGTTTGCCTTCCAGGAACTCCATGTTCTCGTCGGTAACGATCTTCTTCAGGTGGACACGGAAGATCTGCTTGCGGCCATCCATGGTAGGGCGATCAATGTTAATGTGTCGGTCGAATCGGCCAGGACGCATGAGAGCCTTATCGAGAACATCAGGTCGGTTAGTACCGGCCAGAACGACGACCTGCTCGGAAGTGTTGAAACCGTCCATCTCGGTAAGAATCTGGTTCAAGGTTGCCTCGCGCTCATCGCTGCCGCCGCCAAAGGTTTGCTTTGCCCGGGACTTGCCAATTGCATCAATTTCATCAATGAAAATGATACAGGGGGTGTTCTTCCGGGCATTGGCGAACAGATCACGGACACGAGACGCACCGACACCGACAAACATTTCGACGAACTCGGAACCACTGACGCTGAAGAAAGGCACGCCGGATTCACCAGCGGTGGCCTTAGCAAGCAGAGTCTTACCAGTACCAGGGGGACCAGAGAGAATAGCACCACGAGGGATCTTGGCACCAAGTCTCTCGAATCGCTCAGGCTGCTTAAGGAAGCTGACGAATTCCATAATCTCAACCTTGGCCTCGTCCATACCAGCAACATCGGCAAACTTGATCTTGATGTCGGTCTCCTGGTTGAACTTCTTCGCGCGACTCTTGCCCATACCAAATATTCCACTTGCGCCGCCACCACCACCGCCAGCGCGCCGAGAGAACCAATAGATACCACCAATCAACAGCAAAGTGGGAGCAAAGGTCATAAGAGCCTCGCCCCAAGATACTGTATCAATATAGGCAACCGGGATACGTTCATGGGCCGGGATACCCAGTTCGTACTGAGCCTGCTCCAGCTTCATCTCAAAGCTGTCGACAGATCCAATGCTGAAGTATACGGGGCCGGAGTTATCGGGATTTGATTGAGTGTCAACACGGACTCTGTTGCGGTTGAGCACGGTCAACTTCTCAACAATACCCTTGTCAAGATACTTGGCACGGAATTCCTGCCAGGTGATTTCACTACCTGCGTTCTCACCGGGGAAAAAGCTGCGGTAGATGTAGTATGTAACGAGTGAGGTGACGGCGAAGGCGGCGGGATCGAAACGGAACTCAAACACTTTTCCACCGGGAGGTTGCCCTGATTTCTTCTTCTGCTGTTGTTCCTTCTCCTTCTTTTCCTGGCCAGGTTCCTCTTTTCCCTTCTCTGTGTCTGAGCCATGCTGCTTCTTTTCCAACTCCTCGCGCTCCTTCTTCAACTCCTCGGGCGTTTTGTTCAGCATACGAGCGATGTCTGCATTCGCTTCTTTTCCGGCTTGTTCATTGGTGTACTTAAATAAAAACCGAATCATCCGGAGGTAGTCCATCATCGAAGCCTCGCGGTGTCTGTCAATGAAGTTCTTAACGTCGGCCGGTAGTCCATCCCGCATCAATTGTTTCCGCATCGCATGAAGGGCAGCATGCTGTGATTCAGGCAAACGCCCCTCCACGTGCTTTACGAAAGCATCCAGGTTCTTCTGGTCCTCCTCACTCAGAACCGACTCCGGTTTCTTCGGCTCCTCGTCTTTGCGCCCATTGTTCTCGGGTCCACTGCCACTTGGAGTATTCCGGGACTTGTCGTCAGGGCCGGGGCCGCCGGGGCCGGTTGAATAAGTTCGAATACGGTGAGATGTGATGAAAGAGGAAAGCCGCGACGAGGGCACCCGTGCAGATGCCGGAGTGTGACTGATGGATTCCGTGGCTCTCCTCGAGAATCGAGCAAGGTTGCCAGACCTTCGGAGGAAGGTGGCCATGGTCGAGGAAAGGGGAGCCCAGAGGGCTGTGAGGGCGGGGGGGAAGAGGTGATCAATCGAGGTCCGGTTAAGTGGACAACGGCATGCAATGCCTTAAGAGACTGAGGGTTGCGGTGGGAAGCTCATGACGAACTGCGGCTTTCGGCGTCGGTTTTTCTGCCGTTCCGGTGCTGAGTCATTGAACAGGGCGGTACCCACTCAGACTAACCGTCTCTAGCTAGAACTTTCCATAGACCAAAGGCACGTCAAGCATCCGGTAAGCCACAGGGGCCAGACCAATGATCTGCATAATATGTGCACAGTTCCTATACCAGAAATGAACATGCTACATCTACCTGCGTAGCCAATTTACTAAATAACAAAGCAAGACCATAATCAGTAACACCTAGGCAGCGAGAAAATGCAAACTATCACATCCACCACAAGAGAAAAGAAGATTTAAAAATGAACGGCGCGAACAAGGACTGAACCGGTTATCCCGATAAAGAACACAAAATGCAATATAAAACAATATTAGAGGGGAGAGGACATGTCACTAGGCCACGACAGCGCCTCCCCAAGGTATTTTTTTCCCCAAATCTCGTCCATTTATGTCCGTTTGGATTAGAGTGAATGTTAAAATGAGGCCCATGGGAGGTTCTTGTTCATATCTGGATTGGATTGGAGATTATCTGTAAGTACATTCTGGAAAGCCCTTCGCCTGTACAGACACCATAAAGCTCTTCGATATATATATGAGAGTGGATTTAAACAAAGAGTAATGAATAGTGGAGGGATCAAACGCCTGGTCCAGCATGGAAAGCTTATAAGGAAGAGAAGAGAGTAGACATTAGATGATCCGCTTCGGTGAACGCCATATGTTTAAGCAAAGCCCATGTACAACCCAATATGTCCTGTTCGATACAAGTAGTCGATCATGATTACTGCGGAGGCGGACCATTGCCGTCTCCAGCTTCGAAGACAGGGAAGTTGGAGGACATGTCCGCCCAGTCCCATTCGAGAGTCATTGGCATCTGCCACAAGTCTTGTGGGACGAAGGGTTGTTGGAAAGGAGCCACGTTTGGACTGGTGAAGGGGGCTTGGTCACCGAATGGGCCATTATCCAGGCCGGGACTCAGCATATCTGAGAAACCTTGGCCATAACCAGCCATCGGGTTAGGGATCCCGGTGTTCGAAGGTAATGAAGGATCGGCGGCGTAGCTCTTGGCTGTGTTAGGTGAAGGGGTGGGGGCGGAAGGGTCGTGGGTAAACATTGCCGGGGTGAAAGGCGTGGATGAGTGAGGTGCTTGAGGTTTGGCAGATGGGGTAGTAGTCGATTCTCCGTGTTCTTCCCGCTGTGATGGGGCCGAATCGTCGGGTGCATTCTTTCGCTTCTTACGTACGTGAGACTCCTTCTCGGCTTTGTCCAGGACTACCTTAGCAATCCTCTCGAACTCGCCACAAAGGGAAAGCATTCGCTTGATGCTACCGTTAGACTCGTCAGAAACCAGGGTGGACAGAAAATTGACGACTACGTTCATCAACTTCACGTCCGACCGAGCACGAGGATCGTTGGGGTTCTGTAGAATATTGGCGAAGAGAGTAACAAGAGCCGACACAGGGTAATATAGAATCAACCAGACACAAGCAAAATCGCCCTGGGGGATATACTTGATCAAATTGATCGACGCCCTAGCTGCAGTCACGCAAAGAACCGCAGAGAGGAAAACCCTGGGATTCAATGGTCGCGCATTCAGACCTTGAATGGCGTAATTGGATAATCGACTAGTCCAGTAACCGTGGTGCACAGACATTCGATGAATAGTGGTCAAACAATTGTAGTATGAGAATTGCAGGACCACAACGTGGAGGATAAGAGGACCATGAGTGGCTTGAATCTCATGCTCTGGTCTGAAATCCGTGGGAATACTGTCTTTCCAGTCTTCGAGCTCCTTGTCAAGCTCACCAATTGTGTTAAGCAATTCACCGTCAGACTGCCGAGATGCCTTGGCAGAGTATAGTTTCTTGTATACCCTGCTCTCGATAGTGGCAAACTCACATAAGGATCTAAAGAGGTTGAACTTGCCCACTCCATCGGCAAGCGGGACATTACCAACGTTGTCTGGTGGGTCCTCACTTGGTAGGTCAACGTTCATGTCATCGTCATCCTGGACAGGCGGTCGGCCGGATCGTAGACAAAGGTCTTTATCAAGAGTGTAGGCAATCCAGAAGACCCTCTTTCGCTGCTCCATCTCCACTGGGTTTAGCCCAAAGCCCGAGCCCCGCTTATGCAGACCAATGCTGTGTGACAAACGAATAGCCGCTGCAACCAAAAAGAACGCAGGCTGCGGGTTTGGTGTACCCTGCAGGAAAAGTGACATTCCCAGGAGCGCCTGAACACTCAGAAGATCGGTATTTCGCATCGTCAATTCTGTCAAGACACCCATGGCATTCTTCAGGTACAACCAGGCTTTTTTGTCTTCCTCATGTGGCACCAAATTGCTCATAACCCGGAGTCGATGAGAAATAGCCAACACGACGTTTATACTCGCCCACCATCCAGAGCCTTCATACGGGTCGCGAGAGTATTGTCGGTCCACTAAATGCATGAATGTCGCCTCATGGAACAGAGGGAACACGCAATTGAAATTCTCGAAGAAGTCCTTGAATAACGAAAGAGCTTCCTCTTTGGGGGGTAAAGGCTTGAACACCCTCCGAGCAAAGATGTCGCTAAAGATCTCCGGCTTCCAGTACATCCATTTATTATCATCAACATACGCCGAGGATATCATTTCTTGAAAAGAGGTATCCCCTGTCTTCTCGTTGACCCATTGAATACCTTTTGGAGAAAAGATCGAAAACCCGGACGAAGAACCTAAGCATACCGTTAGTATGAAATTCTCAATCACCACATCCTATCCACCTACCAATATATCGAGTCTCTCCACAATTGTTGGTGACCAATGAGCACATCATATCCGACAAGGCCTCCACTTCCGTCTCAGACTTTTGAGACTCGGGGGATGTAGCGGCGGTGGTTCGTGGACTGGATTGCGAATCCATGCGGGGTGTGGTATTGTGAGAGGCCACAGCTGGGTGGGTTGCACTCGGCGCTGTAAATTGGTTCGCATTTCTCGCCGCATCCAAGGCGTTCGTTCGGTCGGCTAGCCGTTTCTCCAGCGTGCCCAGATCCGTTTTCCCATTATCGCCTTCGGATAAAAGACCAGATAGTCGCAGCAAAGACTCCATACGGCCCAGGCGATTCTCTAACCCTTCGATGTACTTGGCTCTGCACACGACGTCAGCCCAACGCATACCGGGAGATCAGATTGGTTTATGGTGGCAACTTACCCTTTGGGTGGATTTCGTTTCTTTTCTACTTGTGTGAAGATACAGTCTGTCTTATAGTTGAGGCAGTGCGAACACTTGGGCATCTTTCCGTCGCACTTGATCTTCTTTTTTCGGCACATGTCGCATGCCTGTAGTGGAGAATCAATATCAGCCTCCGTAGATCAAGAATGTAGTCTAGAATCGAAAGCCACATACTCTAGCAATGCGGCGCCTCTTCGCGTCGTTGGCATCCTCCCCCGCGCCCAGTACTGAGTCGTCGGGGTAGATGGAACCTCCAGGAACGGACATTTGTGAGCTATCGTGGGAATATCCTCCATAGAGCCGAGATTGCTGGTTCATCATCATGGGTTGCATGTCAAAGCCCATGCCGTCGCCATCCCCCAGGCCTTCCATTTTTCCTTAGGTTCGTGAACTCCGCGGGGTGGAGTCCAGGAGAGGGCGGTGTCAAATTAGTTGAAGCTGCGGGGTTCGCATACGTCTCAGGGTGGCGTTATCTGGAGCTTCCCCAGGGATTAAAATTCTGGGGGAAGACACGATGTTGATGATGACGCATTCAAAGTAAGCTTGGGAGCCAACGGTAGGCGCAAAACGGCGCAAAAAAGGCTTAGAGAGGTTGTAACCTGGTTTGGCTTTTTTAGTCACCCTGCTGAGTCAACCACAATTGATTGACAAGGAATAGTAATAGATGTGAGATATACCACGCTAGACAGAAAGTGAAGATAATTTTCTATCTTCAAAAGGATTGAATCTACGGAGTACAAAGTATGAATTTGGCGGAGTTAATAGACTCCGATTCCCGAGCTCTTAGGGGCTTAGAGCATGGTCCGTCCTTTTCGTCCGGCTCCGGGCTCGGCTTCTATTCTTTCCTTTCTACATAAACATCTTGGCATTTAATCGTCGGATATCATGGAATGAAATGTGTCAATTACAGAGACTGATTTAACAATAATATTTTCTGATTCGGGACATAGATCAGTCTGCATACCGAGTCCGACTAGTGGGGTGATACAACTTCGGAGTTTAAACTTTGCCTGCATTTCTTTTTTCACTCTCAGCCTTCAAAGTACTTGAGTGAGCAGAGATCAGTCGTCTGAAGAGTGGGGTGAAGTGCTCGGCTAGTACTTGTCGGTATTCAAATGTTTTATGAATCTATACAGGTCCTAGATATACAACATTGTATGCCAGTGTTCCATAGTAATAGTACATTGAATAGAAGAGTGGCGATCTCGTGAGAGTATATCACAATAGTGCATAAAATACAAACAGATCCAGGGATCCAAAGGATCTCGATCTGATAAAGACGAACCAAAAACTCCACGCTATGCACCCCAATATACAGTCTCGGTCTCACAGCCTGACACTGTTTTGATATCCCGAGATCAAGTCCGACTAAGTGATTCAACTAAGTCGCATTAGGTGTGTTTATCGAGGAACTCCTTGGCCTCGTTGATCTTGGTGGCCAAGTAGGGACTGCCACCACGATCGGGGTGGTTCAGCAGCATAAGCTGACGGTGCTTCTTGCGCACCTTGTCCTTGTTCAAAGTTCGTTCACTGCAGTTTCGATTAGTATGTGTTGATGAGCGTCACAAGTCAGGTCGAAACGTACGGAAGTTCGAGGATCAGGGAGGCTTCGCGACGGTTCATACGGGGCTCAAATCCACTGTATCGGGTGGTTAGCAAGTGACGGTGAAAGAACAACAGCAAGTTAACGAACCCCTTGTAGAATGCCTTTCCGGCAGCATTCAAACCACCCTGGGAGCGGCGGTAAGCGACCAGACCGGCACGGCCCTGACGAAAAACAGTCAACAATCCCATTCCGATCAACTCGATCCAATCAATCCATCAAGATCTTACCAGGAAAGCAGCAGTAGCCACACCAAGACCAACAACAAGAGTCGAAGCCATTTTGTAGAGTACTTAGAGTGGGTGGCCAAAGGTTCAACTGGAAGGCGTTCGGAGAGATCGCGGGATTAAAAGTCAGCGCGCAGTACCCGATTAGGTTTAGCGCGGCCTCCTCCACGCCGAAAGCTTCAAGAAAAAAAAGTTCTGCCATCAACTTGAACAATCAACTTCCCTCCCCCATCACAACCATGCGGTATGTTAACTCCAAATTCGCCCATCAAAAAATGAAAGCATACTAATCATTTCAATCTACAGTGTGGAGACCTGCCATTTCTGCTCTCGCCCCGCCTTCCCTGGTAAGGGCATCACATTCGTCCGCAATGACGCCCGACAATTCCGCTTCTGTCGGTCAAAGTGCCACAAGAACTTCAAGATGAAGCGTCAACCCCGCAAGTTGAAGTGGACAAAGTCCCACCGTGCCTCCCGCGGCAAGGAGATGATCGTCGACTCCTCCCTGGTCCTCAGCCAGTTCGCCAAGAAGCGCAACGTCCCCGTCAAGTACGACCGCAACCTCGTCGCCGCCACCGTCCAGGCCATGCAGCGCGTGGAGGAGATCCGGCAGCGTCGCGAACGCCAGTTCACCAAGCGTCGTCTGGCTGGAAAGTTGGCTCGCGACCGCCAGCGCGAGGCGGATCGGAAGGTCGTCGCTACAGGCGAGCACCTTATCCGCAAGGAACTGCGGGATCGCGAAGAGGGCGTTCCTATGGTTGCCGAGAACAGCAAGACTGCCAACCGTGTTCACGGAGAGGATCTCATTGCGGCGCGCCAGAAGAAGAAGACCCGTCTTTTGGTGGATGGTGGTGCCGAGGAGGAGATGCAGCTGGATTAAAGAGTTTTGCCGCTCTTTTTTCACTTTTTCTAATTTTTTTTTGATTGGGTTCTCCTCGGTTTCCATTTTGTTATGCTTCGACCGCTACGATACGATCTTACGGAGTTGGGCTTGCATTTTCATTGTTGTTGTCACGGTGTTTTTCCCTAAAAAGCTATCGATATCATATACATCCTATAGGTTAGCAGCATGGAGGTTTCTTCTACTGAGCATGTTTGATGTTTCTCTCAAAGTAGTACTCTGTAGAAATGTGTGTCCCTATAATTGCTCTAGGCCCTGCCACAGAATCCGCCCCACCAGATGAACAGGTAGTTGTGAGGGAGCGGGGTGTGTGACAGGCATATGTGGACCTTACTCTTGAATCAACCAAATTCCATCCAGCCCGTGATACAAACTGAATTCAAAAGAAATGCACTCTTATCCAAACGGACATAAGAGGACGAGATTGGGAAAAAAAATTCTTGGGGAGGCGCTGTCGTGGCCTAGTGGCGTGCACATGTGGCCTATCCCCTCTTAAGACTATTTTATATTGTATTTTTGTTCTCGAACGTGATACCCGGTTCAACCTTGTTCGCGCCGTTCTTTTTGGAAGTCTTTCTTTTCTTTTCAAGTAGACGTGACCTATGGGTTGCATTTTCTCGGTGTCATTGATTCTAGTCTGGCTTTGTCACTTAAGATAATCGGGCACACAGGTAGAAGCAGCATATTCATTTCTGGTGTTGCAACTGTGCAAATACGCATTTGAGACTAGGGTTGCATTAGGCTATTTCTTTGGAGCTTAGGTAGTCTGAGGAATAATTGGATTCTTCTTTACGATCAATATCACGGCCTTCAATATCAGGCATCGTGAAGACTAATAGTGAAGACCAAAATCTATGAATATGTAATATTATGTGATTTCATGGATATATTCATTGTGTCCCATCCAAGGGTCCTGAGTACACATGGGAGAACATGAGAGAGCGTAAAGGTGAAGAGGGCTAGAAACGACGAGAGAGTGTGGAGGATCACACCTGGGATATAAGGTTTCGGAAAAGGACAAGGTATATGTTCGAGTGGAGAAAGGAAAGGGAAGGAGAAGCGAGGACGAGGGAGGAGGTATGGATATGATGGATATGCGCCGGCCGATTAAGTAAGGCCATTTATGGAGTTTCCAGAATGAGACAAAGAAAAGAACTCGGACTAGCAGTGGAAAAGAAAGTGGAAAGGACAAGGACATGCGGGCCAAGGAAACATGATACATGGGCAACAAGGTCCCGAAATCTTTGAGACACGCTGTGCTAGGAGGAACGGATCTTAGGGTTTGGTTGAACCCTGAGTGCGCACCTTCATTATGCAGCATGCTCGTTAAACGTGTAAACAAGAAGGAGTTCCCAAATAAAAACGCTCAAGCGCGTACATTGCGTCGTAAAGAGTCGTCGATGCTCAATAAGAATTAGGACGACTGGGTTCGGCTCTGGGTGGAGGGGAATAAAGCCAATCATTCCTCCATGCGTCCAAATACACCATCATCGTCATCATCCGCTGGCGCGGTACGACTGCCGAAGTCAACGTCTGCGTTGCGGCTGTGACGACGGGGTTGAGATTCCTTAGGTCCGGTTCGAGGCCCACGCTCATCAGACACCTTGTATGACAATGACGGGTTGAACGAAGCCGCGGATACGGAGAGGAAGAGGTCAGCATTGGAGTCTCGTCGGTAAGCCTCGTTCATTGGGCCCGGCTGCGACAACAGACGCGGGCTCTGGTGGCTCGGATGACTACTCGAATCCAGGTAGCGAGCCGGCAGCGGGGGAACAGGGGGCACATCCGGTGTCATGGAGACTGGACCTGTACGAGGAGTACCGAAGTTGCACAGCCCAATCGCTGCGGCCAAATCAGCCTCGTCGTCCTCGTGCAGTCGGGTGTCAGCGGTGGATGGGCGGGTATCGATGCTGGACTGGCGGAAGTGGGAGAAAGTAGGGGAGTGGAGCGGAGCACTCTCGTTGTACGAGCTCGAGGGAATCGACTGGTAGGAACGGGAGAAAGCTGAGGCGTTGCTGATGCTAGGACGTTTGGTCCAGTTGGTCGGCATACCTGACATCTCAAAGTCATCTTCCTCCTCTTCGTCAATCGGGGGCGGGGTGGTCTCGGCGGAGCTAAGTCCATCGCGCACCTCCGAGGAAGCGTCGGGTGAAGCGGAGGAGACTTCAGAATCAGCTTCGGGGCAATGCTCGTGGCACTGTTCGGGGCCGTCCTGGTTCATGGTGACTAGCACTGTGGCAGCCTCCAGCAGCTGAACCTGCTGGTGCTTGGAGATAAGTAATTTCGAGGTAACCGCCCATGCCGGGTCATGTTCCCACCTATGCCAAACAAACGTCAACCGACTGTCACCTGGAGATAAGGAAAGGGGGATGCCGGACGGGAGCGGAAAGACCACGAGGGCGACCTGAACAGAGCCGACATGGCGCACACTCCCGTTCCAGCAAGAAGACAGCGCGGGGTGGGGGATACACACATATGCTTGGACAAGCAGCTGCCATGCTTGTACCCTTTCCCGCAGCGATCGCAGCGGAGTTCAGCCGGGACCCGCTTTCCGTCAGTCTTGGATTGAGCGCCTTCGCTGGCTCGGCGGTTACGGCCCTTAAGGGCTTTGCCGTCATCGGAGTTGCTGGGGGAGGCTTTGCGAGCGACCGGAGGCTCCTGGCTAGGGCTATTCACACTTCGCGAGAGGTATGAACTGAATCCTGATGTACCCCCGACCGAAGTGGACTCCAAGCCCTTGCGGCCCCCAAGGCTGCGGCGGTGCGCGGCCATGGGGAGAAGCGCGGATTCGCCCTCTTTCATGGAGGCCGCGATGGCGGCGGCGGCATTGGCAGCCGCAGTGGTGACACTCTTTCGACGCGTCACACGGTGGTTGGCATTGACAGCACCCAGAGAGATCGAGTGGGAGTGTTGACGTTGGTTTGGGTTGGGGAGTGGACGCGAGAGGGACAATTCCTGTGCAGACCGGGGGCCACATCATCAGCATGGGAACACCACGACCCAGGAAGATTCTCAGGGCCTCCTCAGGAAGGAGAGAAGTCATACCTTGAACGAGGCCATAGTGAAGGACTTTCTGGCAATCGACAGATTTTTTGAAAGCCCTTAGAGTTGTAAATCGGGCTCAATTCCGAGTGGAAATTGGTAGAATGACGGGAGTGGATGAGTCAATCTAGGCTGTGCCGAGCGATATGAAGGAAGATGAGTGGTGAAGATTGAGGTTAGAGAATAGAATTCGAAATGATAGCGAGAATGGAGGAGAAGAGGATAGAGAGTGTGAAAGTGTATCCAAAAAAAAAAAAAGTTGTAGGGGTAAAAAAAAAGAGGAGAAAGGAAGGAGAATTGGTACAAGCCATCCGGTATGGTGTGGCCCACCAAAATCGCTCATTGCGCTTTGCGGGGGCTTTTCCCTTTGAGCATGCGGGGGGCGATCTTTGGTAACACTGTTTTTGTTTGGTATTGACTAAAAGGTCTAGGGTTATACGTATTCTATATTCATTCTTATTTAGCCCTATCTAGTATATAATGAATAGTTTCTTCTTCAATCTTTGTTGAAAGCCCTCATGATGATGCGATAACCATGGCTCCACTTGGCGCCTGCAGTTCCGGATCACAGATAAACTTGATTATCACTGGAGACCTTGACTGTGGGACACTGGGAACTGACATCAAATCCATTCTCTAATTTAGGATCCAGTTCCCCCAGTTGCCTCCACAGGGAGACCAGCAGCCCTGGAGGCTGTAGGGGCTATCGAGATGGTTCGCAGTCCCCTTTGGCGTTCCATACAGGGCAGAGTTCAGGGTCTTCCCGGTAAAAGAGTCCCAGGCACCCACGGCTTGCAGTAGGCAGCAAAAAAGACAAAGAAGTAGGATATCTGGCCCCAATCCTACTTCCTAACAATGTGTCGCTTGACATTCATCAACTAAATCTTGAAATCTTGAAGAACATCTGTTGCCTGACGATCACCCGCTAGCATCACAAGGGGGACAATCAAAAGGGAAATGGTTTCCTGACAAGACAGAAACAGGTTACACTCAGGTACCTGTCACCAAGTCACTGGTCATTAGCCAATCTTAATCAATTATAAGATACTTGTTTAACGGACATAACAATGGAACAGACATCACCTGCAGCGATATCGACCGGTCTAGGACCTGACTTGAGTGGGTCCCATGATGTCACTGGTCGATGAGAACCGGGTAATGGAGCGATGGAGTTGGATGTGGACACGGGGCACCTGATAGGGGGATCACGGGATCAGCTGACTGTAGGCACCTGACAAATTACGAACGGATTACGGAGTACTCCGTACACTACTCAGTTCTAGTAGTATTAGTATTAATTCATGTTAACTTTATAATGTTCCGTAATTCTATCATAATTCCCTAATTACGGGACTATCTCTGTCACCCCTCCCAAGCCACGATCAGATCTCTTTGGCGCATCAACCCGTCGCGCTAGTGCGGCCGGAGAGGATCATTACTCCGGTGGTAGCGGGGATAAGTAATTATTTTTGGCCCCTAATAATACCATGGAAACAAGACACTCTGGCACATTCCGAGGCTTGCGGCATTCCGCAGAAACATGGGTTCCTGCGGCTGAGGAGGCTGATGGCGATCTCAAAGAAAGACAAAGCAGTAGTTCAATGGATTGCATAAAATAAACAGAACAAAGAAAGGTAAAAATAAAATAAAAAAGCAAAAATCTCGGTGAAACTTACAGAAGAATTTATTAGAAGTTGAAACGAGTAAGTAGTATCCATGTAAATGTCTCGCATGTCGCCATCGTGGAATCTCCCTAATATTGAATATTGAATTTATTAACCAATTCAATGCCTTATCCCCACTATGACATCCCACAAACAATTTAAACCCACTTTTCTATGATAAGAACAATTCTATGAGATAACTAACGAACTAGTTATATAGGGACCTAATCTCAGAAAGAAACATAGTATGTAAGATAACATCCAATACTTATCCATTATCTAGCAACATTATTAATCACTCATAATCCTAATGCCTCGGACACTCCCCCCGCCACAGTAACCCCGCACTCAACGAGGCCCAGGAGAGAACAATTAATTGCCCGAGCTACCAAATTCCCCACTTTTCTCGTTCTAGCCAGCTCTATCCGTATAGCTCCTGGACTTGGGACTGGAATTGGAATTTCCGGCCGACTGGTATGGTATTTGTATACATGGACGCGAGGGGTACAGCAAAGTGGAGCTTGTCTGATTTACTCTGTATACGGAAAAGAGTTGTCGCTTATGCAGGTCGATTCACACAATTTCAATTGAACAGGATTTTTATTCTAGGTATGAAGATATCTACAAGAAGGTACCTCGATGATAACCATAAGGTTTATACACAAGATCTATATCTATATCTATAACCCATTTCTCAGTTAAATGATCTCTGAAAACAGACCGTACAAACCCCCTGCCCCTCCTGCCCACCAAACCGAAAACGTGGATACTCCACCCTCCCCCAAACAACCAACCGATCCTCCCCAGAATTCGCAGTAAACCAACTAATTAGCTCCTCCTCTGTCCAATTACAACTAGTCACCATCAGGAACCCTCCACGTCTCAGCAACCGTCTCACAATCTCAGGATACCGTTCACAAACCCTCGTTTCCTTCGCATCATCCGCCAGGGAAATCGCATCGAAGGTCCCCTTATCGAGAACGATATCGAATCCACCTGCTGAGTAGGGGAACCAGGGGAGAATTTCCGAGTCTGAGTCTGTGGATGTAACGGGGAGACCAGTCGGAGAGAGGGTAGCTTTTGAAGCGAGAACGTCCCATTCTTCGAATTGAATTGGTGGGACTTCCACTCCTTCTCCCTGTTCCTTTTCCTGTCCCTGTCCATCCTCAGAATCCTCATCATCAGAGTCCTCATCATCTGTCCGATAAGCAGAATGCCCCCTAGACCTCTGCAACTCTCTCGCCAACTCAACACTAAGTGGTGAATAGTCCACTCCAACCATCTTTCCTGAAAATCCACCCCGTTTCTGTAGTAGGGCGAGCATGCTTCCGTTGCCGGTGCCCAGATCGAGAATGGTAGGTTGTGATTGCGTGGGTGTATTCTTGGGCGAGAGTGGGAATGAGCGACTGGTCAGGAAGCGGAGGACTTTTTCGGGGGCATTATGTTCTGAGAACCAGGATGTGCCGGGGTCATCTTCTTCATTTACGTCTGAGTCGTAGTCGTCTGCAATGGAGTTTTCGGTTTCGGTCTCAGTTGAGGCTTTGGGGTTGGAGATGTGAGCTAGGGTGCGGGCGTAATAGTTTTCCCAGCTGTTTATATGTTAGATTGGCGTATCAAGTGTGTAGTGTGTCGTGTGGTTGATTCAATAGTGTTATTGTAGGAAATGAGTTTGGGGTTTATTTGGTATGGAGGGGTAGATGGCAGATTCAAGATTGAGGCTTGGTATGGCCGACTTGATTGGATTCAAGCAGTGAGTCACTTACTAGTCCCTTGAGCCTAGCTCACTAGGTGAGAGGTAAGTCGGGTGAGCGTCTTCAGCCATTTTGCGTTGGGATTGAGGGCGTTGTAGCGTGAGAAAATTTGTGATGCGGAGATGTTCTTATCGATTATCACCCCGCTCCTCTCAACTACAACAAATCCGAACGTACGTCACAACATACATTACATCTACGACAGTTCCATTTATATTGAGATTTGAGCTCGAGGCTACTCATTTCTATTAACTGCGCACAGGGGGTATTTGTGGTTCCTCAATCCGCCCATATCCATCATCTCCATGGACAGACGGATCACCAAACAGGAAAGAAATCAAAGAAATGAAACGAAGGCTTGTCTATGACAAGGAACATAATGAAAAATAGCGAAAGGTGTTGGTGGGCAACCAATAGAAAAGCCCAGTCATCCGCAATAATATTACAGTTATGGTCGCGAAGATAGAAGTCTTTAACGATATCCAAGGTTGACGAATTTTCATCTGGGATGACGGGTTTGTAAATGGAAAGAGAATAATAGCGATAGAATCCGGTGATGAGAACTCGGGAGGATGAAAAAAGTCGATGAAAGACAAAAGCCTGCTTTGGTCATAGAATCATCAACCCAGTCTAGGGGTATGTGACTGGAAAAAGAAGGTGACAAAGGTGGCCGTAAGAGGCAAAAAGGTGGCCATAAGAGGCAATGCTGACATGCAAATGTCGGGTCGTGGAATCGTTGCAGGCCTTGTTAAGGCAATAAAATTACAGGAACTCATCAATGTTCCTCATGATCATGCGATCACCTCCTGCAGGAGGGGGAGGAGATCTGGGATCGGGTATGTCCTTTGCATGGTGCGCAGCGCTGGGGACAGTTGCCACCGAATCAATGCCTCGAGGGGGCATAGGAGCAGGTGGAGATAGGAAGCCCGATGTTCTTGGTGAGAACAGGCCAGCGTTGGGTGAGAACAAGCCGCCGAGGTTTGGGGTATCGCGCACGAATACGTGGCTTTGGACGAGAGAGTCATAGCTGCTCACACTACGAGGGATTCCTCTAATTTGCCCTGGTGCAGGCTCCACAGATTGGAATTTTTGTCGGAATGGCAGCGGACGAGGTGAGAGGCTGCGCTTTGGTGACCGATTCCCATTATCACTGGTCTTGGGACGATCGCGGCGCGAGGGTGGAAGGGACAAACCCAAAGATGGCGCTTGGGACATGTGGAGAGGCTGAGGTTTTGCCAGGGCTGCTCGCTCCTCCTGTGTGAGCTGAGGCTCTGAGCTCCTTCGATTACCGCCTTTGGACCACCACTCATGAGGAGCAGGGCGTGACGGCGATCCGTTCAGCAAACGGCTCCGGAAATCGGTAAGCTGGTAGATGAGGCTCATGTTCGGGCCCACCCACTGGCTTCGTCCCTTGACCGCTTCGTACATGGAATTGAAGTCCATGTGCCGGTTCTTGTAGAGACCATAACCAATAACCAAGGATGCTGACCGACTAGCGCCCAATTGGCAGTGAACTAGCACCTTCTTGCCCTGGGCGATTCTCTCGTCGATCAGCTCACATAATGGAAGCAAGTCGTCTAAGATCTCCGAGTTGTGGTCCCACCCGACGTGAATGTACTCCGGGGAAGTGGGTTTCGTGGAGGTGGGGGTGGCGGGTTCGTAGTCGGAAGGTTGAAATTCGAACGCAGACTTGAAAGAGATCTCTGACATGGCGGTTTGAGGATCGTCCATGGAAAATCGCTTGGAGGCCATGGATGCGTTCCGCCAAGTGCTCATCACGGTATCGTTCCGCTCTCCTTGATCCTTGATGAACGGGTTGCGAACTTCCTTCGCGACGTTAATTACCACATCGAACTGCGCCGCTTCCTCTGCGGTCGGTTCCAAGTAGAGATAAACTCCAGTGTCGTAAATCCGAATGGGACCATCGGGGTACCCACGGTCCTTCTTCCGCGTGGACTCGCGGGAGTCGATGTGGTCATCCTCTTCCTTAAGGCCAGGGAGAACGCGATGAGGGATATTATCGTCGAAATTAGAGGCTAGGGAAGGAACAGTATCTTCTGCGCCGGAAAAACGAAGCGTGTCATGGTCCGACATGGGTCGAGGAAGCTGCATGCCGCCTCGTGGGGCGAACGCCGGGGAGGTGATGGATGCAAGGGAAGGCGATGATTCTGCATGTCGCAAGGAATGTCCAAAAGAAGGAGTCGGAGGTACAATGTCGGGCCCAGTGAATGATTTGTTGAATGTGGGGGTTTGAATGGTGAGGTTCGCGGGACGCCGACGGGCGCTCTTAGGTGGGATCTGGATCGGAGATGGTGGGGCAGCAAGATGTTTAGATGATGTCTCCACTAGAGATGCGGTGGCAATGGGAGGTCGCGACTGGGTTGGAGGCGGCATCCGCAAGGATAAGTTCTTTAGATTGCGGGCTCGACGATTGGGAGAGTCTGGACGGGCCTGGGGCGCGGACAATAATCTAGAGCTGTCGGACATGGTCGGTCGCGCAGCAACTTCGAAACCACGAGCAGGCGCCAACTTCGGGTAAGACAAGGACATGACCGAAGGCGATTCGGGAGATGAGCTAGGGGAGATATCCCCGCCCGAGGGCGAGTCAAAGGGAGAGCTGGTTGTTGTTGGGGAGGATTCGGTCGAGGCTGAGGCGGTTGACGATATACTCTCGCGATGAGGGCGAAGTCGTCTCGACGAGAAATGAGCGGAAGCTTGAAGGTAACAGGAGCTTTCCTCTTCGTATTGTGGCAAACCACCGTAGACGGACATAAATGAAGGGAATGAGTCCGGGAAGGACGGCGGACTGGTTTGTACCGGCATGACTCGGGAAGGCGTTGTATAAAGGTGAATGGAAAGCCAACTAGGGCATTCAGATCGAGATTGCTACCGGCGCAAATGATCTTTCTTTGGCGTTAGTTGAAGTTATTTCCGGTGGAAGCAAGGGCTGAAATCAATGATCTGCGCACCGCGAGACAAATTCGCAGGCACGAGTCACATTGCAGATGAAACGAAGTAGAGGAAGTCCATACCAAGTCAAGCCACCCGGAAGATCAGTGTCACTAGTGGAATATATAGGAAGTAGGAAGTGTGAAGTGAAGTTGAAGTTGAAGTTGAAGTTTTTTAAGGTCGAAGATACTGTAAGACTGGGGGACTAAGACCGAGACTGTGACTGAGACTGTGACTTGAGGCTGGACTGAGAAGGAATGACAGACGGAATCCCTAGAAATTGGGGGCGGGGGGGGAGAAGAGATCGAGTCAAGTCGAGTTCGAGAACCTCTTGCAAAGATCGGTTCCTCCGGGGAACGTGAACAAGAATTATCCCCGGAATATGAAGGGGAAAGATGAGTGAGAAAGGAGAAGTTTGGACCCTTACTGTTTTTATTTAGATGTTCTGATACATGTTAGAGATGTCCGATTTCTCCCCACTGTAATTATTCTTCTTACTCTACAGTGGATCCAGGAGGGCCCCAATGGGCGCCCGCAGATCCAGTCCTTGTACCAGTTAGCTGTATGTCTACGAACCAATCATACTCTTCGTAGCTCTAATTTTAGCCGCCGGGGGCGTTATTGAGTCGGCGTTAAATGCAAGTAAATGAGAGGTTCCTTGAAGATGAAGCACACCGGTAATACATTACCTACGAGTACTTCTTATGGCGTGCGATGAGAAAAGGCCCACTACACAGCTGAGCCAGAGTGGCAAGTGAATGGAATTTACGGGACGATGTGGAGAAGAAAGTGGGTGTGAACAGGGCGCAGGTTTCGATTCGAAGAAATTCCAAATTCGGTCCTTTCCGACCCGTGCGCACGGGGCTCGAACGTCATGTACAGTTGAAGGACCTGAGCAGAGTAAGTAGAGTATATATAACATAGATTTCATTTGAATCTTCTTGTCCTTGAACTATCTCACCTTCATTTCCAATTCCAATTCTAACTCCGATTCTCAGGTAATACTAATTCTCATCTGAAACTCTCATATCGATTTGACAATTCTGAAACACACCAAACTCGCACTAGCAGACGCTAGTACCTCCTTGGCGGATACTCCCAACAACCTATCGCTGTGCCGCACTGGTCAATACTACTTCTGGCACCCTGCTTTAAATCTGCAATTCCAATGAGGTCATTCCAGACCATCCGAATATTTAAGTACGTACCCCGTACTCCGTACGGCTGTGTCCTAAAGCTGGAGGATACATAGATCGACCTTTCCACTTGAACTTCACAGTCTAAAACTTGTCCCGATAATCCTGGACGGTTCCAACATTGAAGGTTCCAAGGTTCCAAGGTTGACAATGGGGAGTCTATCCCCAGTTGATCGATAGCGCGGGACAGGACACACTCTAACTCCAAGGCTCTTATCGATTTGACCCGAGATCTGCACTGGAGTAAATGAGTGTCCGCGTACAGCTGGAGTGCGTATGTACTATGCGGGATAGATATACCAACGATTCAGGTGTATTAATTAGGTTCGTTTCAAGTCTTCGTTCCTGAACTCCTTTGTATCATGTAATTCTAAAAATAAACCCCCCTGAGCTTCAGATGTCGGCTGACGGTGACTTTCGTGTTTCGGATTGAATCTCGTTTGCCACTGATCTGATACAATACCGAGTACGCTCACGATTAATCTATGTACTGTATCTGAACGGTGATGAGTAAGTACTTTTGTACTTTAACCAAGTGCTTCGTTTCACCATGTCTCAACTGTTTCCACTTCGCTTCTTGTACCCTAATCCATCACCGAACCACTCCGGGCCCAACAAGCGTGGAGCCAACACCGAGAGCACCGTTACCTACTGTACATGGACATATCCCGGGTAAACGGCTGGTAGCTCCCATCCATGGGACTTAGATCGAAGCACTATACCATATAGGAATGCACATCAGTTCGTTACCAGTCCACCACGTGGAAATTGAATCCATCTAGGGCTTTGGGGACCCAGGTTGGCCAAAGCTTCCATGGTTCAGCCAACCTGATTCCATGGGTCGATGCATCTCGTGTTTGTCAAACTGTTTGTTTGTTTGACTGACTAACTAGTAACTGCACAGTCTTGAGTGCATGGCCTATGCCGGACTAGTTAGTAGCTTGTATCCCGAGCCCCATACTCGAATGGAAGTAAAGGGATACTCTGTACTCCGTACATATCGACTCTTTGTGTACTCCGTCCCTCCGTACTCCGTATTTAAAGGGACTGGTTAGTATGGGGCTTGTCCACTGAAATTTCCCAGCCACTTCATTTGCCAAACTCCATAAATTATTGAAGAATTTTCGTTTGTTTTGATTTGACAGGTCTTTAGCTTAACTGGGCTGAGTTCCTTGTTTGCATGGATCATGCAGCAGTAGCTTCCCACAAATCAGCGGTGACCCATTAAACCTAGCACCTGAATTAGTTCTTCCTCTCCCCAGTCTAGATAGTGATAGGGATTCAGCTCACACTCGGCTTAGGTCTAGCCCCACTGCGACCAGCCGTGAAACGTTCGCTCCTGCTCTGAGGAGATTGTACCAGTCCCGTGTTCCAAGCTTCTTTCCCAGCCATCCTGCGAACCGATAACCTTCTGCCTCTGAGCCCAATGCCGAGTGGCCCAACCACGATCTACTTAGGCTCCGCCCTCATGTAAACAGCTTCATGCCATCGAGCATGGCATTATCCGAAACAAGAACGCTAGCGAGCGGGAATGGCCGCAGCTTGAACGCCGCTCCTCGCTTGTCTGAGAGCAAGACTGTGGATGACAGACCCAGAAATGACGATGTCTTCCTCAACATCGCGAGGTCTGACTCGGAATCGGGTCGTAGACAGTCGCTGGGACGGTCGGACTTTCGACGGGTGAGTCCGTTATCGTCGCGCTAACATCATGACGCGACCCAAACATTGAACCCCCCCCGATTCGCTGACCACAGTACAGTCTCGACTAGGCAATTCCATTGGAAGTTTACGGTCGCCGACCGCTCGCGACGAAGAATACACCCCTTCCCCAGAACATCGCCCCAATAAGTTTGACCCCTTGCATTCCCAAAATGGCTCCTCCTCCCTTCCATACGGCTCCATTCCTCCCTCGCCAGCTGCCTCGGCTCATCCACTGGATGATTCAAATCGCTTTCGCTACTCGAGCTTGACGTCAGGTGCGCGTTCTACCATTGGCGCGCCTCGAAGCCGACTCGGTCGCATCAGCCCTGAGACCTCTCCGCGCTCACCAGCTGTGAGCAGGGACCGCGGGTCCCGAGAACGCAGTGCATCTCTCCATGAATCGCGCTTTCACCGTATCTCTGGATTATCTACAGTCAGGAGCAGTCGACAAGCGTCCGCCTCAGAGGCCACGGAACGCGGTCAAGACGACGCGGAGAAATCGCGGGACGAATCCGGATCCAATCTGTCGACCACGGCGCCCTCTACGGTCTGGGATCAATTAGATGACTTGAAATCTCGTATTCGTAAATTGGAGGTAACGGGGAAACTACCCCCGTCATCCCAAGCAGCAATCTTGGGGAACGAACGACCCCGAACTGCGGCCACCACGGTGACAGCGATGTCCACCTCTCCCAGACACCACCGCAAGGCCAGCAATCCTTCCATGGAGATAGAATCCGTACAGAACCAGGTGCATCCTATTCTGCAGTCGGCATTGGCCAAGGCCAAGATGGTCCTGAGCAATGACGTGTACGCGGCACTCGAGGTGACCATTACGGATGCTTTGGCTCTTTCTACCGTGTTGGGTGCCAATGCAGCTCCATCGGGCTCTGTCTCGGTCGTCAATGGAGGGTACAGTTCACCCGAGCGTCATGCGCGCCGCAAGGCCGACAGTGTATGCCGGAGCCTGACTGAACTCTGCCTGGCTTTGACGGATGCGGAGCTCAAAAGATGTCGACCGTCCTCGAGCCAAGGCCCGGCCTCGCAGCCACGAGTGAATGGTAGCGATGTTGACTCTCTGAGACCGACATCATCGTACCGAGCCACCAGTCATGAACCGGAAAGTGTCGAGCGTCGCCCTAGTACCAACCGCATTTCGAGTCGTCTTGAGGCGCGCAGAGCATCAGTGGCCAACCCCAGTCCATCTACTGAGCCCAAACCAGCCCAGTCGCCCAATCTACCTACTCCACCAAGCCGCCTTCACCGCATTTCTACCTCTCTCCGCAATCGCAGGGTACCTACCGAGGAATTCGTGGAGACCCCGAACCCGAACAGTCGCTCCCTCTCCCGCGCTGTGACTGAGGTTGCTACACCGAGCCCTGCTCAAAGTGTATCCCCACGACAACGATTCTCTTATGGCCCCTCGACCACTCGTTCAATCTCCACTGTGAAGCCAGACCAGGGCCTTGGGATCTCGCCTCGCTCCCCACAGTACCCACCCTCGACTCCGCAAGCCCCGGCATCGCAACCTCGGACCCCCTCTACGTTATCCCAATCCGGCATACCATCTCACACTGCCATGTCATCTCAATCTGGCATCCCATTCCGCCGCAGCTACATGACGCCTGGTGTTTACTCCCCCGCAACGTCACGCTCCAATATCCAGGCCGGATCCCGTCGATACGGTCTTTCACCTGGAATTGAAGAAAACCCTCGACCCCAGCTGGAGCCATCTCAGACTCGCATTAGTGTGCCGTCTGGCAAATCAGTCACAAGCTATACCCCCATCCAACAGCCCCGCCTCCGAACCAACAGCCTGGGCAGTCGCAAATTTGCCCTCAGACGCCGTTCCGCAGTTATGCCCGATGACGCCTTCAACCTCGACGACAGCATTGACTAGACTTACCTCCATTGCATCTGTCCGCCATGCATGACCTGATCAACCGGTTCGTGCCCTGATATTTTTAACGCAGCGATATCGCATTGATTCTTCCGGCGATTTGGCCTCACTTCGGCGTTTTCTTTTATTCTAGACGCTTATTTGCTACTATGCATACAAAGGGTAGATATTATCTACCCAAAACAGCACTGCGACGTTGATGCTTCGACGAATTTCCTCTGTTTGATTTGACCTCCCACTTGGCCTGGGCCTCTCTTTTCTACTGTCCATTGTTTTCGAGTGTCTGATCCTCTTTCAAACCCGGATTGATTCATGGAGTTTGAGTTTGATTGACCATGTACAAAACCAAACATCACCCGGCGTCTTTTCTGCTTTTGTACATCTTTGACCTGCTTTGGTTCGAGCACGGTATTTCTTTGTTTAATGTCAAGCGTGGATACATGCTTATATGGACGAGTTTCTCTATGACGAATGAATAAAATTCCAATTTAACATTGAGTGTAATGGACCGAGCGACGTAACGGATGTCATTGACAACCTTGCCTAATCGTACTTCTGGACCAAAGGAAATTCAGCTATGACGCGCATTCATTAGACCTGGAATAATCCGACGCTGAATGTTTGTGAAATTTATATCTTGAAACTATAACATGATTATTTCGTCCCAACGAGAGAACCAATAGGAGCAACCACCTAAATCTGTAAAGCTCTACTCTCGTACGGACAGACATACTACGGATGTAAGCCAACTATAGCCATCTTAGAATAAGGTCCACTTCCAAGGTTGATGTTCCTGGCATAAGCACTAGGTCATGGCTTCAATTCTTGAGTCCGGGGCAAGGTTTGGAACTAAATCCCCGCCATTACTTTTGACCTGCATGAAATGGGTATGTGCTTGCGTGATTCAATGATTTCTTCAAATGGTGCTAAAAGCATTGGATTATGATAGATGGATACCTACTAGGTATAACATGGACGGCCATAAACGTCCATTGATCTGCATTTGTCACTTAATTTCGGTCCCGGATCTCAGGATATCAAGTAAATCAGGTGTATAGACCGGGAAGCCTGCGGTCCTGGATCGACAACATTTGCTACAGAATACAGAATTGTACTGCTTTATGCAGACATATGGAAATTCCAAGCGGGGTAAACTATATGGCCTATCAAGCACCGGAATGAAGATCAAGCAATTCTAGTTGTATAAAAAAGGTATTCGTCCGGGTCCGGGATATCAATTCTTCAATCCATAATTTCCTAGGGTACATGTACCCAAAATGTGGTCAATTCTACTGATCAGCACTTTTCTCTCTCTTTTCCCCTCCGTTCTTACATCTATTATCCCACCGTCTCGAGATCCCTAGTATGACCAACCAAGGAATATACACGCCTACAAACCCGGGGATATAATCATATAATCCGCTCTCGCTCTGTGAAACCCCAACTAGAATCCTGCCTCTCCCTACCAATCAATATCTCTGTCATATCCGTCTCGCAATACCTATTCCGCACAACAGATAGCCTCGGCGGAGCCGTTGCATCTGTAGTCACATTATTCGAGCCCCATAACTCCGATCCCACCAACCTACTCGACTATCAAACATACTACGACAGCTCCAACGTGGACTGCAGTCCATCCTACACACGCCAAACAGACAGTGATGACCTCTCTGCATCAAACGCCTCCCTCGATATCCCATTCGTACGTCCCCCGGAATCCCACTTATCCAGCTTGGAATTTAACAAAAATCCACCGGCAGATCGGAACTGCCCTCAACCTTGGCTGGTGGGTATACACCACAGATTACGAAGGCCTTAAAGCCCAATACACAGCAGGTCTCCAATCAGGCCAGGCCGTGCTGGATTCCACCCGCGCAGTTCTCCACGCAGGACCATCCCTCGGCCTCTCCCATAACTCGCGTTACGTACTATGGGGCTACTCAGGCGGAGCACTGGCTGCATGCTGGACAGCAGAACTTCAGCCCTCGTACGCACCGGATCTGCAATTTGCTGGAATAGCAGTTGGAGGCACAGTGCCGAATATCGACTCGGTTTTACGAACAATTAATAACGGATCTAGTGCTGGGCTTGCATTTTCGGGAATATATGGACAAGCACGCGCGTATCCTGATATGACGGGTTGGTTGGAGGGGAGTCTTCTTGAGGGGAGGCGGGAGGATTTCTTTTCTATTGCGAGTGGGTGTTCGGCGAGGGTTTTGGAGTTGGGGGAGGGGATGGATTTGTATAGTCATTTTAAGGATGGGAAAGGGGCGTTTGAGATGGATATTCCGGTTTCGGTGTTTAGGTGACCATGAGACTAAGTCGATTGCTGGAGCGGGGAGTGCGTTGGCTTGGCTTTCGGATAGGCTGGATGGGGTTCATGTGAGGAAGGGATGTAGGACTGAGGATGTGGTCATTACGTCTTTGAGTGTGAAGACTCAGGCATTGTTTGGAGAGATTTTGTAATCGATTCTTGAGACGGCTTTGGCTGATATGCTTTGACTCTTAAGATATGATGACTACAGTCATGGCAAATATGATATATAGGAACGTGTCAGTTCCATTACAGTCTGCATTGGTATATACAATGGATGCTGGACTAAATCCTCTACGGAACAAGATTGACTATCATATGCCTATCCATGGCAGAGGTATCGTCTTTTGAGTATTTAGCGTAACTCTGGATATGCTGTGACATGTCCCGTCACATCGGACATAACATATTGGAGAAATAAGGAGCAAATGGAGATAATAGAAGGGCGGAAAGACGGGGATTAGGAGAACAAGTGGTATGAAAACGGCTTTTTTTCGGGTTTCAGGAGTTTCGAAGGGAAGGCAGGCAAAGAAAGATAAGGGGCGAGCATTGAAATTAGGACATGAGGGGCGGACGAATCAAGGCTAGAATATATCATAGTCCTTGGAGAGATGGTTTGATGTTTAGGGGGAAGCCTTGAAGGAAATAGGGAGACGGGAGGTAGAGACCGAGAAGGGGAGAATCAAATGGGAAAAGGTATGCGAGGGTCTGTGGGTAATAGAGTAGGATTTTGGCGGATGAAAGCTTGACTCGAGGTAAAGCGTACTCGGGAAAGACAGTCGATCTTGATGGCAAGCTTGACATCTAAGCTGGAGGAGCTATAGCAGCCTTAACCTCGAGTAGGCGGGTAGAAGAAATCGGAGAACGGGAATCAAAAAAGAAAACGCGCTTGCACATGACCGCCGCTGATCATGACCGACAGTCTCTGAAGTCGTAAAGTTCAAAGAAACGCAAGGGACCGGGGCAAACGGTTCCATTCAGACTGCCAAATTGTAACAGCCTTTCTTACTCCTGGGGCTGCTGGTGGCGGCGAGTCTTCTCAGCCTCGAGGTTCTCGTAAAGAAGGTAAAGGGCCTTTTCGTTGGCCTGGGCACTGCCCATGATGGTGAACATGCGTTCGCCAGAGTCATCGTGAGGAGCCTTGGCAATAGAGATACGGGCTCCAGAGCTCCGGCGAATCTCGGTAATCTTGGTTCCACCCCGACCGATGATGCAGCCAACCATGTCCGCGGGAATGCTGATGTTTTGGGTTTGCATCTCTTCGCCATCTTCGGTGACCTGGGGGAATCCGCGAGTGCCAGCATCCGAGTTGGACCGACGGTAGCCACTGTTGTCGCTGAAGTCGGCACCGTTACCAGTGCGGTTATACTGACGGCTGGCGTAACCGTTGCCAGTCGCGGGGGTGGGGCTGCTGCTGTTGGCAAGCGGCTGGGAGCCAGTTGTCGCGCGAACAGCAGGGTTATAAAGGACGGTTCCGGTGCCACGCTGCCAGTCATCGATCAGGCACTTGCCGATCTCCCAAACGGCCTTCTCAATACCCTCGGGGGTGCCCTGCACCTCCACAATGCGCTCAGTAGATTGGGGGAGCATCTCCTTCTGGGCGACCATGCGCACGCCCGAAGCATCCTGGATGTGCTTAATCTTCAAGCCCTGTCGTCCGATGATGGTGCCCATCTGGTTGTGGGAAATCAGGAGGCGCACGGCTGGAATCAAAGCAATTAGCATATGTTGTGACATGTAACCTTCCCATGTCTGCAGAAGCTGCAGCGAAATCTCTCGGGGTACAAAGAATCTCTCAACAAGACTCCTGAACCCCAGGTGGGGAAGAATCAAGGTACTTACGGTGGGTCCCATTGTTGGAGACAACACCACCCATGCCCATCTGCGGGGCGCCCTCCAAAAGGCCCTTGGCCACAATCGAATAGGCGCGAGCAGTGCCTTGCAGGGGACCAGTGACAGTGAGAACTCGGTCGTGTACACCAGGAACGACCTTGCTCACACCAGCCTTGACGCCAGTCTCATCGCGCAGGTCGGCAACATTCTTTCCAGCCTTGCCAATGATAACACCGGCCTCTTTGGATGAGACGATGGCACGCAAAGTCAGCATGGACTGCGCGTACTCCTCTTCGGTCTTGGGGACGGCATCAATGTCTCCCTCGGGGAGATCGTTGAAGGCGTCGGGCATAGTCTCGTCAACCACGGTTTGGTGAACCTCGGAGGTATCCATGGCGTCCATTATTTATGTAGAAACGTCGGGGGGAAATTCGGTGTTGGGATGGTAATTCGGTTTCAGGTGAGTTCGGAAGTCAGACGGTCGCGGAAGAGGGGAAGCTTCACTTAAGAACACCATAGTCAGCTTCGGCGGGGCCAAAAGAGCAGCGTAACATCGCGAGATGCTTTGCGCAATCGCTTTCACGATAGGAGCCACTTGAGGCTGGCAGAAGACTCAAACGTGGATGGATAACGTACCGATAATCCGAAAGGAAAGTGGAGAAATCAGGGGGGGCGAAGAGGAGGGGGGAGCGGAAAGATGGAGGGGGAAGTGGTGAGGAGAAAAAGAGAAGAGAGAAAGAGATGAGAAAAGGGTGAGAGGGGGAAGAGTAGGAAGGTTGGAGGGGGATGTAATGGAAGAGTTGGGAATGTGGTTTTAGCGGAGACACCAGTTGATTAGTACAAATCTCCACTTTATGTACAACATATCTTCAATGATATAATCATGTCACCTTAGAACTTAGGTAATTCACTTTCAATTCAAGTCACTCATATTTCGGTCTGCAAGCTCTCCACCGCGCAATATTCGCGGCTACAATTCATGTTTCTGCTATATTTGTACCATTTACCTTATCCATTACCCATTCAATGAATTTCATGGAAATTTCAGTTCACTTACCTGACCCATGCTACCTAGTCCACTGTTCATCAGAACAGGCACATTTGCAGGTAGATTTGTACAGAGTCTGCGATCCCCATCCTCTTGGAGAAAAAATTGAGTTTATACGGTACTTATTTTACCCCATACGTCAAAATTTTCGTCACCATCAAGATTAAGATATTTTGAATATACCACTTTGGCTATAGTTCATGGGTAACCCTTCACTGTGGGATCATATCCATATCATCGGAAGGTGACCTGGATATTCCCCTCATTTGCGGGGAATGCTCAGGTGCAAGACATCCCTTGCTTGTGCGAGTTAGAAGATGGGTAACGAAGCCATGGAGAGTCATCCGATATCAATAGATTTCGATTCATCCCAAACACTAATGTATACTCCACATATAGTCTACTGGTCAGGCAAGAAGATCACCTTCTGAACCTTCATCGCATTGAACAGCTCATATGCGTCCACGGCCTGCGACAGCGGCATCATCTTCTCAGTCATGAATCTAGTTCACAATTAGCAACATACATGGGCAACCAAGTTCTGTTCACATACCCAAGCTTGTGCTGGTTCTTCTTCAGAACCTCCAGTGCCTGCGGAGCAACCGATCGAACAGGGCACCGGCCCATCTGAACAGTAAGGTTCTTGTTGTAAGCATCACAGCCATCCCAAGGAATCTGCTCATCATCAGTACTAAGTCCCAAATCCAAAAGGGTCACCAGACCTACCTCAGCATTATGAACCCCGACACTGCTAATAGTACCCCAAGGCCGCAACAAATCATACGCAGTCTTCAACGCAGGACTCAATCCCACAACCTCAATAACAGCATCAGCACCCCTCCCCTCCGTCAACTCCTTGACACGACGATCCAACCCCTCCCGATCCGTCATAAAGTTCCACGGCTCTGCGCCAAGCGACTTAGCAAGCTCCAATCTCGACGGAACGGAATCAATGGCCAGAACATGCTTAGGCTTGAACTCGAGCGCATTGATAAGCGCACAAAGACCAACAGGTCCACACCCGATAACAACCACCGTCTGCTCGGCGATCTGCTCAGCCGTCGAGTTCTTGAACGCATTGTAAGCGGCAAAGTATCCCGTCGGGAAGATGTCACCCATTAGCACGAGATACTTATCATCCACGCCTTCGGGAGCTTTCATCGCCGAGCCCTCGGCATTAGGCACTCGTACATATTGAGCCTGGCCTCCATTCAAGGTCTCACATCCGAATAGCTTGCTCTTCTCGCAGCGCGAGGAGAATCCTTGCTTACAGTAGTAACAGTGGCCGCTGTATTGTATTAGCGTCAGCAATCCAGCTCCATACATGTCCGTGTGTCCATATACATACCAGGATGTAGTGAAGGCACTGACAATGCGATCCCCCTTCTTGAAGGTCTTAACCGCACTGCCAAGCTCCACAATCTCACCCACAAACTCATGGCCCATGATGAAGCCCGGAGAAGCAGGCTCAACGCCACGGTAGGTGTGCAAATCACTATTGAAATCAGTAAAATTACGAACCGTGTTAGGTAGTTCAACTCACCTTCCACAAAGCGCAGTGTATACCACCTTGATTACTACATCCTCGGGATCTTGCACTGTAGGAATAGGCCTCTCCTCCACAGCAACCTTATACGGCTCGTGGAAGACTACAGCCTTCATCGTAGGGGCGGAAGGTGTAGCCATTTTGTTTAAGTGTGATGAAGGTTTACGAAAGCTTCAGCGAGGAGGGAGAAACTCGGATCCAGCAAATATCTATGGGGCCGGGGCTCTTTTCGTTCCGGGTGGTCTTTGACGAAATTGCATGAATATTTGCGGGTCCGTTTGGGTTTCTGTGCGTGGTGGGTCTATGTGTGACACGTCACGCGTGAGGGTCGTATTGATCGGAGTTTCTTAGGTGGAGATGGGAATGGAATTAGACTTGAATGTTCAGTTGACCTCAATTCATTGTTAAGTATCTTGGGATCAAGGGGAATTCTCTATAGCACTGAAGTGGTGTTGTTGGGAGTGGTAAGGTTAGCTATCGTCATAGATATGAACCCTCGGAACCGACGTCTACTTGGGAGAAGCACCTGGTTGACTATGTACTATATTCAAATCTATGTTCTGAGTTGAGATTCAATTGCAAATTGAAATGCAATAGCCATAGCGTATCTAGGATGTATCTATAAAACATCCCAATACGCCTGAGCCCGCAAGAGCCGGCTCACTCCTTGAGGAAAGTCATGGCAAATCATGTCCTCACGCAACGCCTATCAGAAACACCAAGGCCAGTAAAGTGTGAGAAAGAAGCAGTCCGGCTGAATCAATCAATCATGAATCTTGCAGCGGAAAAATGCAGTTGTAAAGCCAAAAAAAAAAAAAAAAAAGGTCGCTGATCTGGTCGCAAAAAAACGAATGAGATGGTGTAGTCGGTCAGAGCAAAGGCATGGACTTCGTTATTGTGCTTTCAGAACACATGGCAGAGAAGTTCCTCCTCCAAAATGAATTTCCCTTCCTTGTATTTCTCACTAGCCTCGTATGCCTTGTCGTACTTCCATCCTACCGTTTCGTTGCACTGGCGGCAGGTAATATCGCGTACGATGTGTCGGCCCGTGGTCATACTACGCTCTACAGCGTCGGACGTGTTGACATTGACGACCATGTTGAATAGGTATGCTTTGCCGTGCTGCCCGCGGAAATTCTGTGAGGTCGGGATTAGTTGCTGAGCATGCTTGGGAAACAGTTGACTTACCCGACTTATGACGTCATTGTAATCTGCGAGGTGAGTCTTGCATGACTTGCAGCCATAGATCTTGTTGGCTGTCAAGTAGACATTGTATGTGAGACCCATGGTGGCTGTTGGGTTGTTGCGATCGCTGGTAGGGAAGACGGGGTTGTCAAAGGATGAGTTTGTCAGGGGTGTTTGAGGTCAGTGTAATATGAGGAAGGCAAGCCTCAACTAGGATAGGATTGTTTCTGTAAATCGGGCTAATATTGGACGCCTGAGCTTGTCACTGTCACTGTCACTGTCACTGTCACGGGGCTGTAGTGTCCAGTAACTTCGACCGGTGCTCGGTCAGTAATGCCCGGCCCTCAGCTGGTCTCGGGTGGACCGGCCCAGTTATCTTTCTCTCGTCTCCAGTCTCAGACGTTCGATTGTATACGCTCGTAGCCTAGCTCTGACAGGGAGCTGGAGGGGTTGGAGGGGGAGGTCAGTCGGTGCAGTTCGGCTTGACGATAAGAACTTCGCGATAAGATCGGAAGAGTGATTAGAGGAAGTAAAGTAGGACGGACTTGTAGTCTTGTCAAACGATGAAGGATTGATTCTAGTATTTCGAGCTTCAGAAGAAGTCTGAGGTACAGTGAAGTTGACAGAGGGAGTGAGGTAAGTAGTAAGGCAAAAACACCCCGCACCGGACTCGGGATGGATCACCTGTTTACTTTGACTCCATAGGTCTTTTTACTCAAGCTTCTACCTTGGGAGCCATGAAGGCAATACTCTGTACATATATTACTAGGAATCTTCGCAAGGCAACCTACAGTGAGAAATTTAAAGACTTCAGGCAAGATACTGCGTGAAAGAAACTTATATCTATTTTGAGTGACAAAAAAACAATCCCTGTACAGCGCCAGTCAAATGTGCTCCTGCATGCTCTTCCATATTACACAACGGTCGAGACGGAGCCTCGACAGGACTTTAAATATTTTACTCATAATCCTTCACATAGCGACCGGGCAATTCAACATCCCACAAAGGCCGCTCAACCACCGCAACTTCTAGACCGCTCGCCTCATCACCTGACAAGGTGTTGAGGGGCACAATCCCGAAGATGTCACGGTACTTGTACGTGTGCCACCAGCGCCGCGCAGATTGGCCATTGACCACCAGTTGCTTTTTGGGAGTATCTCCATTGACGGGCTTACCCTTGGATCCCTTTTGTGGGGTTCCGGTCTCAACGACGTCCCCACGACGGAGACGAGCAAGGGCGGTCTCATTACCAGCCGCGAAGGTCTCATCATATTCGTAAGCCTCATCATCGTCTCCCAAGGTACGTGGGAGTTCTGGGTCAAGTGAGATCCACTCGCCCTGGGACTGATCACTGCCGACGATCTTGCGGACCTTGGTTCCAAGGTGAAGGTCATTCTGCGAACGGGGGATCCGATCACCAGCACCGCTGTTGGGCTTCTTGCGGTCGTTGTCACCATCCTCGAGGGGATCGCGCTTGCGTTTCGAAGCCTGGACAAGCTGGCCAGAGGTCTTGTTCTCGGTCTCAGTGTCCTCCGCAGGGAAATCTTGCAGCAGGTCGAACATCCACAACCATGAGTTTCCATACAGCCAGAGTCTTTCACGACCCTCGAATACATCCCACATACAGCCCATGGCACGGTCTTTCACGCCCCGGAACTCTGCTGGGAGGTAAGCCTTGGGGTTGCGTCGCGACCAATCCGAAAGCTTGCCACTGAGAGCCTCGAATTCAATGAGTTGATGCTCGCTGGTGAGTACCATTAGTCTGTCTGCGGATGATGTGTGGTCGGCACCGTTGGTCAATGCCTTGGTCGCACTTTGTGGGCGGAAAGACAGAAGGGTGACTCCTGACTTCATTCTAGGTATGGGGGACTCGGACGCAGCCGTGCTCCAGCGCTCTCCCTCAATCACGATATCCTCATCTTCGTCATCGGAGGACTCGTCATCAGAGTCGGAGGCTCCGTTGCTAGTCTTGCCATTTGTAATAGGTTCGGTCGCAGCACTCAACGCCCAAGTATCCACACAGCCAGATAGATCACCTGTAGCCAGAATCTTGCTGTCTTCGGAGAAGACAACAGTTCGAATAGCCCTCTCGTAACCACCCAGGGTACCATGGGAGGCCTTCTCATGTCGTACATGGCGCGTGGCACGCTTAAGGTGCGCAAGTTGCGGTAATACCTGAGGCTTCTCAGTTGTCGAAGAGGCTGGCTGAATTCTTGCCACACAGACATCGCTGTTGGGGCGGATCACCGAAAGCCAACGGCTATCGGCAGAAATGGTCACAAGGCGTGCACCTGTGGAGGAGAGGGTCTTGGGCACGTCGACCTTTTGTATCCGCAAAGCTCCCTTCTCGTCACCCTTGCGCCGACGAACGGTAAACAGTTTCACATCGGAGACTGTAGCAATGACCAGCATCTTTCCGTCTGAGGATAGTGCGGCGGAGGTGATGTTTTCTTCGCCCTAGATGAGAGTATCATTAGCACAATCCCATCTCAACGAGAGCAATAATCCCTACCTGGATCATAACCTTTCCAACAAGCTTATGCCTTTGGCCATCGAGGTTCTCGTGCACAGAGGCCGGGCCCCGGGATACACGCCATAAGCTGACTTCTCTATCCCAGAAGCTCATAACCAAACGAGAGGCGGGGGAGGAGGCAAGTTGAGGGATCTGAGGCAAGTTGGACAATTTCCGGTGGTGTTCCTTTCCGAATTCACGTAGTGGTAAGACAACGGGTGTCGCGTCGGGTCCTGTGAGTAGAAATTAGTACCCAAGCATATAGTTTTGGAGATTTCACGTACCACCAGACACGGCAATGCTGATATCCTTTGTCTCATACACAGCGAAAGTTTTAACATCATGCGAATGGTATCGTCGGTGCATGAGCTCTGCCCAGCGAGACTTCTTGTCACCCTTCTCCCCATCCTTCTTGCGGTAGACGACTGTTCTCTGATCGGCACCACCGCTAATCACCGTATCACCATTTGAGCTGACGGCCACATCAAGCACATCTGCCAAATGACTTTGGATCCGTTGAATAAGAGAGTAGTTCTTGGCATCCCAGAACCGAATCTCACCCGCAGAGTCACCAGACACAATTGTACCATCCGGAAGACACTTGACCGACCAAACCAGGAGTTCCTTGGGTCCACCCGTAGGGCCCTTTCCAAGCGAGATCGTCCTCAACTGCTGGCCATTGCGAATATCAAACAGACGAATTGAGCTGTCAGCATAGCCTGCAACAATGGTATGACGGTTCTGGAAGGTAACGCTGAGCACACGAGCTCTCTTCGTGGAAGGGCGCATCAGGCGAAGGAACTTCAAATCGTTATCCGCGGTAGACAAGATCACGATCGAGCCATCCGCACATCCAGCAGCAAGGTTCTGACCGGTAAACTCGCCTTCGGCGGGAGGCAGGAATTTTCCATCCTTGCCCCTCTTTGTAGGCTGCCAGCGCGGCTGCGCAGCGAGACACCAGATCTCTCCATAGTTTCCACTAGAGTGACGCAGCGGACATCCCTTCTCGAGATCCCACTCAGTGACGGCCGTGGAGTATCCAATGCTGAACAGGCGCAGTTGGCCTGGTAGCTTGGCACCATCGGGTCCTTCTTCGGAGGGGTCCAGAGTCCAGGTCAATCCCTCGATGCTTCGATCCTTTCCTCCGCGGAGAACAGACTCCTGGAACCATGCGCCGCGCAACGGATTCCAGATCTCAATGTCGCCGTTCGCACGGCCGATAGCGAGTCGAAGGGTCGGTACGCCTCGTCCGGCGAGATCGGCGGAGGGTGGATGGGAGAAGGCAAGTGCGTTGATAGCCTGAGGGTTGTAGGAAACGAATCGACAACGGTGGATATCCATAGTGAAGACTTTTAGGCTTTGAAGCCGAGGCGCTTGAAATTGATATAAAAAAGGGACGAGAGTAGCAAAAGCGGGGGCTGAGGTGTTGAGGGGGGGGAGAATCAATTCAATTCAATTCAGCTCGGGCAGCGATGCAAGCCCTTACGCACTCATCTCGGATAGAAAATGGGGATAACGTGCGGTGTCTAAGCTGGTCGTCTGATGCGCGATCACTTTTTTTTCCGTAGATAATTTTTAGCGGGCCGGAATATCTTGGCGGAGAGTTTATGTCATGTGATGGATATGTTTGCCTTGTGGATAAGGCATAAAATCATGGATCAATTCTACCGACAAATGGAATCCAATATACTATGAGTCAAAGATGCTTGGTGATTCACACTACAATAGCATTCATCAGGCAATCGTGGCAGACTCATTGTAGCAGCCATCCGAGTCGCATTCAATACTGTTTCAATAAGGCCATTATTAGATATTCAGTACACTTGAGTACGATCTGGAAATCTATACAGGTATTGACTGTTGGGAACTGTTTCCACTGTTTTCAAAACAATACAAAATGTGGCAGAAACGATAGGCCTAGGGCTCTTCTTTTGCTTGCAGTAGTAGAAGAAGAGGCAGGTTTCCGCCCATTCCCCTGGCGAACGGTTATTAGACCATCTAGCCGGCCTTGTTGATCAGAGCCGGACGGGAGTAGTTCATGCTGAAAGCCAGATTAGGAGACAGTTCGCAATACTATTGGATACCTGACGCAATCTGGCGTGCCAGTCTACCCAAAGTGGGGGTAACAATCCAATATCCTGGTCGCCTTGGCGTAGACAGGGGTATGCCAATGTTGAAGTGTGGGATGGAGGGGCAGGTCCTGTCAAAAGAATCAGCGAATACTATCAAGCAATGCCAAATTGTATGCGACAGGTTCAGCTGAATATATGACGCCCCCACGGCTGTGTGGCTCTCGTCCAATCCCACAGTGCTACTTGCGACCGGCTTGAAGATTCCATATAAGGGTTGCTTACATGCAGGGCCCACTAGATAGGTGCCACGTCAGAAGCAACCCCATTCGTCCTTTGACAGGAGTGTGGCTGGTTTTCAGGTCACGAATCATGCATTTCATATGTATCAGATAGCTGGACTAGTCGAGGGGTTCGGGCTTCTGATAGGATACGCCACACTTCTCTCTGGTTGCCCATGCTAGAGATCAGCGGGCAATGCACAACGCACAACCAAGGCAAAAGCTGGCGGAATTTCATCGCACATGTGATTGGCCCGCTGGAGGATCTGCATGAGGGGAAGAGAGTCCGAGTATCATGTCCACACAAGCTCTTTCGTTCATGGAAGTCACGGAACCAAGAACTGAATAGTCAACTCCGAGTTCTTGCATTGCGTGTTGATGTGGCTGACCAGGTTGGACTGAGGAGTTTCATTTGCTGGTCAGTGCTGCGGGGTGATCCTTCAATCCCGTCAGCGCGGGCTCGGGCGCAGCAAAGTCGACAGCTCACCACCAGTCCGATAAGGACTAGATTTAACAAGAATATGCTTTCAATTTGACGCGATCGTTTCCAGTCCATGATTAATCATAGAAATGACAAGTTGAACTCAATTCAAAGACATCTCGTATACGGAGCCTTGATCGGAGTTAAATTGCTTGCTCCACATTTCGGGCTGAGTTGGCCACAATCTTGGATCTGAACCCCCCGCTTGGAAGACTGGGATCTCGCCTAGAACTGACCAGATCGTGGCAGACTAGGATAGTCGATCGAATGCGAATTAGAATCAATTGACACGGGAGAGATACTGAGAAGCCAGCAGGGGCTAGAGGTTAGTGAACTTAGACTGTGATAGCTTCCAGGTTGTCGGTCATCCTGCCATGGTAATCCAGCCTTAGGTTAAACCTTGGAAAGATACGGAAGAACATCCAGGTCAATTTTCTTTGGATCAGTTCGTCGGTAGCGAAGAGATGGTACGGAGTATCCGGATCGGCATTGATACAATGTCAATCTGACGCGATCGCCGAATCAGCACGCGTAACTGGCGGGATTCATGCCAAGCAAGAAATCAAATTATAGTCAGCGCCAAAGTATGCGGACAGTGGCCGAGCCGCTGATGCATGTGCCCAGAATATGAAAGCGACCAGAAAGGATCATACTTTTGTCTCCGGGAAATTTTCATAAGATCTCAAATTTCTGTACGGAGTAGGTTAAGGCAAAGTTCAAAGAAACACGAAGAATCGCCAAGTGTGGGACGCGACTCGGCAATGACGGCATAGATTCAAGCCGAGGTACGTACTCTATAGACCAAATCCAGAGGAACATGATCCTTGCAATTGCAGTAAACGTAAAGTTGAACTTAACCAGGTTTCGAGAGCATTGTCTTCACAATTTATCCCTCACGCGTTAAGTAATTGGTACTGTATACAGCTCCGAAGTGGATCTGTTTCTGTTTCTATACACGGGTAATCTCCACTCAGTGTCATTAGTCTAAACCGCACATGGTTTAGCGGTACTGAACAGCTTTGCTCTTTCCGATTACCTTTTACTTTCAATCGGACTGATCTCACCAGAAGCAGGGAGGAATGTAGTGAAACCTTTCAAGTTGATAGTTCCCTGTAGTGTCTAAAAGTGATCCATGGTAGAAGCACAGAAACAGGTATAGATCTGATGTATTCTAAGCTGTAAAGAAAAGGGGCAATAGGAGGTCAAAAATACCCTAATCCCATGGTTGAGCCTCCACCTCATCCACTTTATAGGCTTTACCGGAAGAGGTCATATTGTCTTGAGTTGATTCGCGTTGCTAATTAGCACCACTCTTATTCGTGGTGGGGTCCGAAGATTTTGCACTTGACAGCTACAATTGCTAACAATGCTAAGATACCAACTTTAGCTGGTCACAAACTAAATTTAGTACCTACATATACCACCGGGGCAGATACAGTGGTTTTGCCAAACATTTCAAGCTTCTTCTCACGCAAATTGATTCTCTTGATATGATGCAAGCTTGACGCACCTTGTCCACGACCCCGGAACCACTCTTAATTTAAGGAAGCCCGAACAGGAAACATTGAACGTGGTGGGGTGGTTCCCGCAGAAAAAAACTTCACGATGCAGAACACTCCGCAGAGGGGCAGCGAAACAGAAAAATTGAAATTTTCACCGGTCAAGTGCGGACTCTCGGAGTACAAGTTAATTCGATACAGAGCAATTGTGATATTTCAGAATTGATATTCCATAATACCATAAGTGAAACGTCAAAAGACATGTCAAAGTCCTTCAAGATGTAGCATCAAAAGTACCATTACCTCATTCCAATAAGTATCCACTAAAATGCTAGTAGGAAATACATACAGTCAGTTCACGTAGAAAGCCGGGAAGCCGACGTTTGTGTATGGTTCCCGCTCCATCCGGTCGATTGCCACTCGTTTTTCAGTGGAGTGCAAAGCTGTCAATTCAGCGGGGCAGAGGCGAAAGGACTTGAGATTTGCAGGAGAAACCCGGCGGAAAACGCTTTGAATTGTGTTTTCGATCTTTACCATGGTTGCTACCCCGGCACGGCCCTGCTACAAAACCGTTGTTGAGTCGGGACTGTGGAGTGGACATTATGTACGAAGAGCGGCTTTCCATGGCTGCTATATTCCACGGTACCTACGAATTTCCAAGGTAAATCGAATTGTGATATGCATTTCTGTAGGTTTCGGACGGTAAACTAATCTATACAAACCAGTTGATATATAACGGGTATTTCAGACTCATCACGCCGCTAAATGTCGGTGAAAGCCCCCCAGTTGACGTACGTATCGGCATGCACAAAACGAACTATAATTAAAGAGGTCAACCAACTCCTTGGGCTTGATATGCATCGCAAAAGTCCCTGCAGCCGGTAGATCAGATTGATGCAACAATCCGAAACTTTGTACAGAGTATCGACTTCGAGATTGCCACTCATGATATCCAACTGGACAATTTCCCCCTTGTCACAGATATTTGGGTAAATTACAATAGTTCAATTTTAACTTGCAGTTGATGCAGGTACAAATAATATAGAAACGTGGGAGCTAAGTCAAAGTCAAGTTGTTTGTTGGTATCACGCAAGGAGGAACCGATCTATACCTCATGTCTCTATTCCGATGGGATCTTGCAGCAACAGGAGAAACCAACGCAACACCGTCGAATCAACGGTTTGAGCGGAAATTAAAGCAAACCCTAGCAGAAAACCCCTCGGTAATCATGCAATATTCTATTGGTTTTGTTGGATCAATTTCCATCCCATGCTACTTGACACCTGGGCACCTTGGGTGGATAACCCCCTTTACGATCAAGTCAAACGACACCACATATTCATATCCAAGCTAACTAGCACTATAGAGTAGGCCATGCATTAATCACAAAAAGCAATACTATACTCCGTATTTATCACTCTTATCTCCGGTTAAAGCACCCGGGCCATGATGGTTCCAGACCGATCTGAATATCACCCAGTTATGGGCGCGTCTTAGAGCTCCAATGAGATCTGGGGTCGGCAAGTTGAAACTTGAAACCCCAAACAAGTATTCCATGGTACAGTGAAGGGTGAGAACAAAAATAGCTAGGCGACCGTCTCTTCCCCTGAGGAATAGTAAACCGGGTGGGCGCATTGGATGTGTAAGCAGTACTAGTTTCCAAGCCATTCGGGCAGGTCGCCATGGGTACGTCGTTCCGAAGAAACTGATACTCCGAATCATCTGCAATGGTGCCCCATAGTGCCCACGTAGTGCATTAGTTTACGGCTCCTCGGCAGTCTCCTGCTCCATTCCCCTTTTCCTGAACTTGCAAAGGTGCCGTCTTATCCAATGGCTTCTACGGAGATCGACATATCCGTAATCGTGCCAGGTTGTCCGGGGTTGATTCCGAGCTGGAATTTATGTTCGGACCGGGGTGGAACAGCAATAAATCCTCAGGCTAATAGTTGGAGGTCCACATTTCTTTATTTAGAAAGACACGCACGTTACGGAGTACTCCATAGAACGATCG